GTAGAGGTTCCATCGCTGGTTTCTTTATCTTCAGCTTTCCTCTTTCCAACAATTTTCTTCCCAATGCTTGCAACTTATGTGAACATATCAAATGAACATTTCGAACAATGCATATGAATAGTTCATATAATGAAACTGAACAATTATTTTAAAGTAGTAAAATTATACCTTCCTTTTTTTCCAAAACTCCTTTGCTAATGGATTTTGAACCACCTAAAACATATAATATTCTCAGTTTCTTTATCTTATATTAAATATACACAGTTCAATATATATACAATAAATTAAATATTAATGAACATTAAGCTAAATTAATATGAAAAATAATTACCTTTCTTGGTAGCAGGAGCAATTGCCTTTTGTTGCACCTTTTTATTAGGGACATTATCGGCAATAGTGGCAGTGTTCGAAGCAGTTTCTTGTTTTGCCTTTGCTTTCAGAGGAGTTTTCTTATCTTTTGAAGCTTCAATAAGAACACTCTCATTTCCAACAGGCACATTTGCAGCAACATTGGCACCAAGCAAATCAAAATCTGCACAATTAGGGCCTACACTTATTATTTTATTGCATTAATTTGATATTTTCTTAATGTATATTATCATTATTACCTTTTACTTGACTTCTTGTTTTTCTTTGAGTTGTACTCTCTTCTAGTGCATCATTTTTCTTCTTCAACAATCTCCTTGCAACCATTTTCCTTCTTGGTTGCTTTACAGATTGGGATGATTCTTCACTTCTCTGTGATGAAATATTTTCATCATCATCATTTATGCCAACCAATACATTTAATAACTCCTTCTCTCTAAACTCTCCTTTCTCTAATTCTGTTTCATCCTCAATCGTGATTTCTTCAAACCATTTCTTCTGATTTCCTTTATTTGTATTTTGTTGACCTGAATAAATCAATATATTAAAAACATTTTATACAAAATGATATGAAAGTGTTCATTATACTTACTAGATATGAACATTTTACCTTTCTGTGCTGTCTCATCATGGGTCTCAGTTTTCTCACCTTCTGTATAAATCAATTTTGGAATTAGAATAATCAATATTTAAGTAAAATTCAAAACAAAAAGTTCATTAAATTTTATAAATATGAACATATACTTTCTTTGGTTTTTCTTCAGGGCTTTTCTCCTTTGTTTCAAGGATTTTTTCAGGGTTTTTCTCCTTTGTTTCAGGAATTTTTTTAGGGATTTTCTCCTTGGCTTTAGGTTTATTGGTCTTTGCTTCAGTTGTTTTTTCACCTCCTGTAAAAATTTGATGTATTATAATAAAAACTTTATAAACATTCAAAAGAAAATATTCATTATATTTTCTATAACTTCTCAACATCCTTCTCAATTTTCTTTTTTACAGACCCTTTTTCAGATTTCTCCATGTTTTTGTACATCTTGATTGCCTTTTCCCTTCTCTTCAGATTTTGCATAATTATGATAGTTGATTCTTTGTACTTCCTGTAAATGTGAGATAGTATTATATAATTATCATATATGGACAAACTTTATGTAAGATCATTTAGTTATTTGTAATAGAACATACTTTGGGTTATTCTTCATATCTAAATGTATATCTTCCATCTAGCTAAAATTTTTTATATATAAGTAATAATATTAGAATGATTATTTATATAATTTATAGATAAATAGGAATATCATAATCGCAAAACAATTATTCTTGTAGTTGATATGTCTATTTTATATGGTGATTTACCCTCATCCCTTGGTCATATTTAGGAGTATTTTTGGCTCTAGGAGCTACTTTTATTACTAATATGCGTTTTTTAGTGTTTTTGTAGCTTTGGTATTGTTTTATAGGAAATTGCAGATTTGGAGCGATTTCCCGGACTTATTTGAGTCACTACTAGCATTGGATTAAGATCGCATTCATATGACCACATTCCGAAGCCCAAGACCACATTGGAGCAATCAAACCGGTGATTAAGGGCTCGGTGAAGAAGAAGAGAATGAGGCAATGGACCGAGTCTTAAAGACTCAAAGAGGAAATGCGGATTGGGCTAAGAAATAGCCCAATCAAAGAAATCCATGATGCCTGAGAGCTCACCCGACCGGGGAAGCTCTCGCCCTAAGGTGCGCCCGACCGGACGTGAGAAGAAGTATCCACCAACCGAAGGCGGGCCCGACCGAGCGAGATGGCGCCCGACCGGGCGTGTGTTTTTGAGGGCCGTTTAGCGACTTTTAATCTTTGTTTTAGCTTAGGATTTCTAACTTGAGTATACGTACACTTTGTTAAGCGAGATACTTACGTCTTTCATTAGTTAAATTCCAAATTTTTAGTTTTAAGCTTTTGATTAATACTCTTGTTCTCTCAACTCTTTTGGTTTATGCAAATTATTATTTCCGTTTATTTTGGTAACAATTTCTTTCCCTTTTATTTTTCGGTAATTTAATTGCTTTGATTAATCATGTCTTGTTTTATTGCTTTGTTTGGTTTAGATTTTAATATGTATGAGTAGTTTTATTTCTAGGGTTTGTGGGGATCCATAAATAATATGAAGAGGTAATTTATTATTGTTGATTGTCAATGCTTGATTGATTTCCTATTGATTGATTTAATGCTATGCAATTAGATTTGGCCAGGTTTAATTGTATGAGTTATGCAATATTGATTCGAGAGATGAGAATTGATGTTTAGGCTTAGTTTCAATAGGCAGGTTAATTTATAAATGGTTAAGTCAAGATTCGAGAGATGAGATTAAATACCGGTAGATTAATTTTGTGATTGTAATACGTAGCGAAAGCCCTTTAATTATGATCTGATTAATTGATGCATTGATGATTGATTATTGTGTTTTACCTTGGAATATTATTTATTGGTGAACCTATACCCTAGGCTTTGATTTATTGATTTATCCTTAGTTTTAATTGCTTTAATTTATTTATTCTCCTTAGTTTCATTCTCTCAAAACAACTTGGTTACTTGATAGTTTAGATTATACTAATTATTTAGGAATAGAAAGACTTATTTCCCTGGGATTGGACCTTACTTCCCCATCTGCTTTAGCTAGAGGACTTAGGTAATTCTTTTGATTTGGTGATACGACTTTAGCCTGTCAGTAGTATAATTTATTTACCTCTTTAAAGTTTTTGTCTGTGATTGATCATCAGCTATGGGTATTTCCACGATTGGTTGTACTTGATCATCAACTGTTGGTTTTCTGATAAACCATTTGATATATTTATCAATTTATAATTGTAAATAAGCAAAATATGAAAAACAAACATAAAGTGTACTGAAAATGAACATGTCATATATCTCACTTTGGATTTATGGATTCAGAAGGAATTTGATCGACAATACTTGATGTATTCTTCTCTTGCTCACCAAAAATAATATAATTGTCAACAGTCAAATGATGAAAACAAAATATTAGACAATAATTTCTATAAAATTGTACTAGAGATTTATACCTCGTTGATTGATTTGTCTCTGGCCTTGACTTTGAAAGTTTAAATGTCACTTTCAACTTTTTTCGTTCGCTAAAATTTTAAGAATTATTACAATTATAAGTTTATGAATTCAATGAAATTATTGTATGATTAAAATTATGAACGAATATCACAATTTATAAATATATCTACTTACTTGGGATGTAATATGTATCTTTCATAATATGGTTCCAACCCTTTTTTCACATGATTATAATCTAATTCATTGTCTATAATTGATGACACTCCCTTCAATAGAACTATAGGTATAGAATTTCCATCTCTAAAGTTCAGCAAGTATTTCACTTTATGTGGTACATCACTACAAAATTGAGGTGAAATTATGTGTTTAGAAAAGTGTATATTTAAAAAAGTTTATATATGTATGTGGAAATGTACATTTGCGATTAGTCTATAATTGGTTACAAATTTCTTAAGGTTTAAATTGCATGATTTGTTTCAATTTCTATTAAGAAAACATTGATTTGTTTTGTAGACATAGGTGATAATTTTTTATTTCATAAATGTTCATATGAGTTCCTGAAAATGAACATTTTAAATGAACAATCAAATAAGCAAATATGAACATTTTTGTGACCATTAAGCAAATCAAATGAGCTAAATTATGAACATATGTATATAAGTAAACATGTAAAAGTACTCATACTACTAAAATGAACATATAGCATTTTGTAATTGTTCATTTTACCTTGGCTTTGGAGACATTTTTGTGTCATCTGTATGGCTGTACCACATGACTTTTTTATTTCATTCAAAAGTTCTTGATTTACTACTAGAAACTTTTGTTCGCGGTTTTCTTCACATTCTTTGATTTTTTTTTATTTTTTTATTTTTGAACTATTTCCTTCGCACTACCAAAAAAAAAAAACAAAATGATATACGATACTTCATACTCAAAAATCAAAATGTACTTGTTTAGATTACTAATTTTTAAATGAAAATTACTAAAATGCAATAGTTCATACTCTTTTTCCATGTTTTATGCTTTGATGATGTTCCTGTAACACAATTGCAACAAAAAATTATTAAAATTAGGGTTTATACTCTTTTTCGAACTAAATAAGAACAAAATCACTTATTTCTTCGAATTTTGACCTTGATCTGTTGAATTTTGTAGTTATTGGACAATTTTTTTGATAATTTGTCACAAATTCGTAGAAATTTTCGGATTTGAAAATGCAAAAACTGGTTTAGAGAGATAAAATGCAGAAAATGGGTTGGGAGAGAGAAAGTAAAATGTATAAAATGGGTTAGGAGAGAGAAAATAAAATGAGAAAGACGGTTTGATTTTTTTTTTTTTAATTATATATATATATATATAAGGGGTAAAATTAGTACAATTATTGTGCAGTTACTAATTTTGGAGGAAGGGGTGTTAAACGAAATGACGCGTTTAGGGAGGGGTGTAGGGGAACATGCCTAGACTAGTGTCTAGCCTAATAATTACACTATTCACCAACAAAAAATAGTTTACTACCATTTCCTTCAAAAAATAAAATAAGTAGTTGAATTAAAAGGGCCAAAGCCAAATCCCAAGCCCAAAAGCCCAAATCCTAAAGCCCAAATTGTCTAAGCCAGATATTTGTTTGAAACTGTGGCTAAACCTCATTATCTCAGTTTTTTCATCCTCTCAAAAACACACACAAAAAATGGCGATTTCTGCAAATTCTTCGCTTCATCTTTCTTCCTCCTTTTGCAGAGATGTTTTTCCAACCTCTTTATCTTCCATTTGCCCTCTTTATGGTTATTTTCTTGCTTCCATTTTTTAAATTTTTTTGGGGTGAAATTTAGAATTGTGAATGAATAATAAATTTTCAATTATATTAACTAAATTATGGTGTTGATTGTTAGGTGGTTCGATTTCCAGAAAAGGGTCGGTTGTTTTTGCAAGGAGGTTATTTGGGTTGGAGGAAGCCATGCGAATTCAGAGGTACAACTTATTCAATTTTCTGCTACTATTTCTTCTAATTTGATATCATTACTGTGGGTTATATCTTTAATATATAAACAAATTAAAGATGTAAAGTAATTTCTTCTAATTTACTTAGTAAAGTAGTTTATATCTTACTCTTATATTTAATTAGTTATAAAAGCCAACATTACAAAAGCTTGACACATTTGGATTTAAGGAAAAGAAATTAGTTTTGGAGGTAATTAACAGTGCGTGTTCTATTCAATTTTACTTATGTGAAAATATCTTACCTTATTTGAACTAATTAGATTTTATTAAAAGTTATTTTAGTTATAATTTGTACTTGAGTAATCCTTATCGAACTTAATTTTCTTCAGATGGACTTATTTGAACTTGAAATAAGTGAAAATAAGATAAACAAAACAAATTTAAAATATAAAAAAACATTTAATGAACTGTTCTTCATTTCAAGCGGAATAATAATAGAAGTTATTAAGAAAAACGATGTATACTAAGTAAATAAACACTATAAGCTTAAATGACAATTAAGAAGGAAATATTAATTTCTTTTCAATTACTTTAGCATTTCCTTTTCTTTTTACATTTTGGAGATGCTCAAGAGGTGCATTTCTATTTTTGGTGTCAACATGATTATCAATTTCAAGTTTTAATGCAGATTCTTTTATCATGTCAATTCTTGGAATTTGGGTCATTGGTTAGTTGTCAAGTCAGATGAAGTTGAAGTAATCAAATTATTAATTTTACGAGGCTAGTTATTATTATGAGGGCACCCCATTACACCAGGGTCGAAGCTAGGATATTAAAGTCGAAGGGGTTGGTTGATACCATAATATAAACCTAAAATTGGTTAGTGTTACAAAGGAAAATTTAATTGAATCGTACTTTGGGTCTTTTAATATAGCAAAATAATTAATTAGGAATTCTATTTATATAATGAATCCTTATAGTCTAACATATTATGAAGTATCTTCTTATATTTTCTTGCTCTTTCAAATAATAATCGTAAATAAATTTATGCAGTAAGAGCTCATGGAGTATTTTTATCACATAATTAATACTTTTGGGGTTGATTAATTTCAAATGTTGAAGTAAATCTATTTGTACCTCTATAAATTTGGGTTAACTCTCTTTATTATTAATGAAATTAGTCTTGAAATCAAAGTTTAATATCAATAATTAACGTAAAATTCTTTTGTTACTGACTATTAAGCTTTTTATAAAAGAATCTAGTGATGTTATTTCATCATACAATCTACCAAAAACAACAATAATTATTAGTAATTCCTGAAAAAAAAAAACAATAACTATCAATAATTGGACTTTTAGAGTATTTGGTATTTGGGTTAAGCGTGAAGCCCATCAATCTACCAAAAAAAATGGTAAGTGATGTGCTAAGGGGAATCGATCATGGAATCTAAGATCCATTAAGTTAGATGCTTTTATCACCATGCTTGGTACCGCTGTGGCCAATACAACAATGTGTTGTTTAGCCGAAAAGATTTATTCATATTCAAACGTTCGTAGGGGCCGGATGCAAAAAATAAAGGTTGTCGAGCTTGGTCACGGGGGCCAGGCCTACACCGGCCCCCCCTTTGGCTTTGCCTTGCATTACACTAAGGCCATGTCGAATTTGAGTAATAATCAGGGGTATATAATTAGGGGAAGTTCCAAGGAGATTCATTAATAGGTGAAAAATTACTTTTTACAAGTTAGGGAATCTAGTAACAAATTCTTTCACTCTTCTCAAAAATTGAAATCCATTTCTCCAACCCCTCTCTCTTTCTCCTCCCTTCATTCAAGTTCCCCACACAAAGTAGTCAATTGCTATTAAAAGTGGTTTGAGTCTTGAACTCTTAGCTAGTTAGAGATTTATGGCAATGAGATTTGAAGAAGTGATACTAGAATATTTGAGATGAATAGAGGTCAAAGATAACGGGTGGAAAAGTTATATGGGTGAGGGTGGGTATGATATCCTCATTTTGAGGTAAAGATAAAGAAGTATCGTTAATTTCTTCATGCTCTTTCCAAGTTCGAAGTACCATTCAACAATTTGCTTGTGTGGGTGGGGATCCGGTATTTTCGGAATCCTTATGTAAGGATTTACAAAAAAAATTCTTTCAACAAATTGTTTTTAGCACATTTTGATGTCACTGCTGAATGCGATTGGCGCCGGCTCATTCTTCAACAGGCACGTGGTCAGGGTTGTGCCCTTCGGATTGAGCTGACATCCGTTACGGTCGTTATTCGATTCAAAGAATCACCATTTTTCTATTTTTGTTTGGGTCAGAAGAGTCCTCCGAATTTTCTAGTCTTGATTAATGATCGGTTTCTTTTTTTCGCATATTGAGTTACTTCATATGTTTATCTCTCTTGCATTCCACCATCTCAAAATTTTTAGAGATTTTAACCCTTTACTTCTGCCCCTCATATTCATTGCGATCCATAATGGTAGATACTTCATACTTCGTATAAACAAAGGCATATCACAATGCATCTTGGTTAAATTTGTTAAATATTCAAGGGTGTATTAGTCTAGAGCTTAAAATGTTCTATGTTACAAACCAAATCTATATATATATATATATATATATATAAGAATGTTATTATTTATCTTTTAACCATAACCCTTTAAATCTTTAATCCTCAATTTTTGTATATTCTCCCCCACCCCCTCTACCAAAAAAAAAACAAAAAAAAAAAAAAAAAAAACCCTTACAGTGTACCACATGCACAAGATATAACATTTGTAAAGAAAACCAATCTTATATGGTTATTGGAAAAATTAGTTATGGGAGAGTTATTGGGGGATAAATAGCTAGATTATTGGGGATTAAAAAAAGACGAAGTGTGTAGATTTTGAGTATTTGAAGTTTGAAAGGTTGTGGTTAAAAGTTGGAAAAACCATCCCTTTAATTATTATACTTCCTCCTTTTTTTTAAATATTGCACAAGAAAATTTCTCAAATATTGCACCATATCCATTTTAGGAAAACAAATATTTGTGTTTTGTTGTTCACACTAAATATACCCTACATACCCTTCTTTTATAACATTTATTTCTATGGTTATGTCTACAATCACATGGACAAATTTGTACTTTTACCTTTCTCTCTCCTCCTTTTTTCCACTACTAAAAAATTTGTGCCAAACCCTTATGGTGTAATCTTAAAAGAACGGAGGAAGTATTAGATACCTAAATAACTTCCCATAACTTTCTATAACTTCTAATAGTGTTTTCCTTTCCAAGTATCTGTGCTCGGATACATTTTAGTATACTACTAGTATAATTGCTTTACACTCCCTCGGTTTTTTTTTTAAGGTATACATTTCTCTTAAACATCCGTTTATTTTAAGTGGCACTTCTCCTTTTCGGAAACATTGTACCATTTTAAATCATATTTCACTCTAATTTGGTTCTCCTACATTTTAAATTACTTCTCTCTCCTCCTAGTCCCTGCTTCTACATTCTTCATTATTTTTTCATCTCACATCCTAATATTTAATTTTTCAACAAACCACTCTTATACACTATATATTTCTCCTAAAACTCAACGTGAAAATTAGTGTGTCACTTTAAAAAACGGAGAGAGTATTAATAAAAATATCTAATGTATATATTACGTAAGGGATGCAGGAGAAAGATTTTTGTGGATGACTATTCGGAATAATCACTTTTGATTTGTGTATCCGACTCACTTATGGGATTAAAGAATATTTGTAAAACGGAGAGAGTATTAATCAAAAAGAATTTTTGTAATTTTTATTTTTGTAGGCAAAAGCTAATGTGATTAAACAAAAAAATTAAGTGATCTAGAGATCACAATAATTAAACACCGGACTTACATCTAATGTGGTATATAAACATCCAAAAGACTTAAAAGAAAAAAAAATTATTTGCAAGTTTTCCACTGATTATACAGTTACGTATATATCAATCAAATTTTAAGTTCCCTTAATATAATTGTGTCTTAGTGAAAATATTTTTCAATAGATTTTGTCTTGCGCTAGTTCTTCATTGAGTTGAAATGAATGAATATTGTTTTATATGGATAGGGTAACTTTTAGCTTGAGGGTATGGAAGATGATGTCCACGAACATAATCTATGTGAGTTCTACATAGACTTTCTTTATCTTAGTGATATGTAGTGGAAAATATAAGGGGTAAATTTATGGGGGAATATTTATGTATTATTTTGCCAATGTTGGACAATGCATGGAAAGAGTAGCTAGTATAATGAGCACAAAATTTATAGTTTTGTGTAATTTTCCTGAATGTTGCTTTATGTGGGCGCCAAGTTTTTTACCCTTCACTCACAATTTCCAACATTGGCAAATACTCAAAAAAATTTCCTCCAATCTTTTCCCCCTTTTATCTTCACTATTATTGTTTTGTCACAATAGTATTGGAAGTCTATGTGGGGCCCACATAAACTATGACTATGTGTATCATCTTTCTATATACTTTACAGTTTACACTAATGGTGGTGAAGGGACTGAGATTAGAGTGAAGTGGGACTATGGGAATGATCCCATTGCTGTTTCTGGATAGTAGGAATTGTTTAGTTCTATAAACTATTGTACTCCTAACTGACTAGTAAATGTGCAGGGAAAAAGAACTCCAAGATAAAAAGCCAGTAAAACGATCCCCATTAAGGCGAGGAAAAGTATCGCCCCGTCTTCCTGTGCCTGATCACATACAGAAACCCCCTTATGTTGGCTCCAATAAATTGCCTGAACTTTCAAATGAATATCAAATTCATGATTCTGAAGGTATCTCTCATATGAGAGCAGCAGGTGAACTTGCTGCTCGTGTTCTGGATTATGCAGGAACTTTGGTTAGGGTGAGACTCGTGAGAGATCAATATTGGCATTGTTGATTCCTTGTTGAATTTTTTTTTTTTCATGCATTGTGTCAGCATGCGGTAAACCTATACATGTTGTCAAGCTGTTATCATGTTTACTGCTTTTAGCTACTTATTGTTCTCAATCTTCTCATTTATGCCAACTTTTCAATTCCGGTTGCCTGATTGTGCAGTCATGTTTGCCTTTGGGTTTTGCATGCAAGTGGAAACATATCAAAATTATTCTTGTAAAACTTCTAAGTAGGAAAATAAATTTGCTTGTCCTACACTTGGTAGGTTTTAATATCCTCTTGAATAAAGCCTTTTTTCCCCTCAACCTGCTTCATCATTTAGAATTCTGGGGTACTAAAATTAGCAAAAGTAGAGGCGCACACCTTATCTTTTTTTTTGGCTTATGTTCCTTCTATTTGGAAGTTTGATGCTTATATTTTAATGTGGTAAGGGGTCCTAATCTAGAGTATTATTCATGGGGTAAACCTATCCTTTTCTTATAGTTCAAGCTCCAAATTATTGTGTTGTTATACTTTACTGAAACCTAAGATAAACACGTGTAGTGATTAGTGATTTTCTTATGAGATTTTGTCAAGTAGATTTTTTTTTTTTTTTTTCAAGCTTCTAGTTTAATTTTATTTATGTAGTTTTCTCCTATGAATTTGGACTGCTGTTGTAAATTGGTGGAGAGAAAGCTCCAATGTTGCAGCACACTAAAATTAAGACACCCACTGATCTTAATTACTTGAATGAAGCCTAACCTATATTAACCTTCAAATAATCCACACAAGAAAGTTAAGGGTGTAGACCAATTGAACAGAAACTTTGTGATGAAGAGAAAGAAAAATGGAATATGTATATATATATCGGAGAACCAATTCAGTCCATGGTGGGACGATCTACCATATAAGCCATACATCTAAGGAGGCAGATAGTGGACTATTTTTGGGTGAGGAAGAAGTATGCACTTGATTTTCATTAACTTATAAAAGGCCTATGAGCCTATGAGGAGGTCTCTAAATAATTTTACTTGGCTAGAAATAAGTATTGAGGTATTAAAAACAATTAAACAAATGTAAGGACTTGTGTAGTAGTAACGTAGGATTTTCCTATTGATTGTTCTAGGCTACATGTAGTCCTCCCTTTGCAATAGTTTTAAAGGAATTATATTTTGGTGGATAAGACTAGCAGTAGAGTTTATTATAAATTACAGCATTGGAGGCAAAAGTTAGATTTTTGATGGTTTCAAGTAAGTTCTCTCAAGTAAGTTCTAGGCTTGTCAAATAGCGAGTCAAATGAGTATGTAGCTACATTAGATGTATAGATTGCCCATTAGTGGGTGTTTTATGTACCTTCAATTGGTTGAAAAGAGGAGTGTAGATCTTGAATAAGGATGGAGGCACAAGTTAGAACCTTGATGATTTTGAATAAGTTATAGAAAATGAGTACATGGAGTATTGATTTGAGTATTTGACATTTAATTAGAGAGTCAAATGATGATGTGGTAATATTGGATGGTAATGTTTTTCATGAGTGGGTGTTTTAAGTATCAAATATGCATAGTGAGCAAATAAGTTCATATAAGTGAAAATCAAGCAAATAGAACACACCCTAAGATATTGTGCAACCATAGCATACCTTTAAGGTTAAGGGGAAAATTCTATAAAATGGCTATCAACCCAATGTTTTTGAGTTGTTATATGGGTTGGAATGTTTGGCAATTAGAAAAGGTTTTTACTACAAAGATTGTAATATAGAAGTGTGAAAACACCTGAAAGGATAGGATTTTAAATGAAGGAGTTTGGATTTTTGATGATACTCCTATTTGTCATGTGTGGGCATGGTGTGTGCCTTTGAGCTTTGGTAAAGGTATACTAGCATATTATTTTGACCTAAGGAAAGGTTGGTACTTGTAAAAATTTGAATTAGCTATACAGTGTGGGTGTTTTTATGTCATTATTAGATTATTGTATCGTATATGGGAAAAAGTTTAGTATCTTTAGGCATGTTGAGAGCCACAAACTTTAATTTTAGAATTACTATTATTACATTACTTAGATTAAAATTTGATATAAGTTTGAGAGGTTATTATTAAGTATGATTCTCATCCTCTATATATTTAGTTAAAGAGAAGCTATATATGTAACATGTTTATTCCATCGTAATCAGCACAAGAGTAGAAAGAAAAGAAAGAAAAAAAATTAAGGAAGCATAATAGTGAAGAAAAGAGAGAATGAGAATTAATAAAGAGAATTTTATTATTTGGGTTGTAACCCACATTTATTCCTCCTATATATCTCATAATTATTTGAGTTAGCAATTTGTAAATTGATATAACTCCTACATTTAGTATCAGAGCCACGGTATTTTAATCAAAATCACAAAATGTCTACCAACTTTGTTCAGCCACAAGTACCCCAATTATCTAAAGACCAATATGAAGATTGGTGTATTAAAATGAAAGCATTATTTGGTTCCCAAGATTTGTGGGAAATTGTTAATGATGGGTTTGAAAATCCATCGGATGAAACAAAAGCGGCGTTAACTAAAGAAAAGGAAGATGAGTTGAAAGAAAATCTGAATAAGGATCAAAGAGCACTATTTTTTATCTACGCAGGATTAAACCGCGAAACATTTGTGAAAATCTCAAATGCAACCACAAGCAAGGAAGCTTGGGATAATCTTGCAACTATAATTTAGGGAGTTAGAGAGAGTTTGAAAAATTCAGCTACAATTACTACGAGGTGAATTTGAGGAAATCAAAATGACTAGTAATGAATGAGTCAATCTCGAAATTTTTTTCTTGCCTACTTACAAATGTTCACCAACGAAAATTAAATGGAGAAAAGATTGAAGTTAAAAAGATTGTTGAGAAAGTACTTCGATCATGCAATAAAAGATTTAACCATGTATTACCTGTGATAAAAGAATCAAAAGATATTGATTCATTATCAATAGAAGAACTTATGGGATCCCTTCAAGTGCATGAACAAAGAATTCAGAAGAATGATGAACCAGGGAGCAAGCACTTGAATCAAAGTTGTCATTAAATGAACAAAGAGGTGGAAATCGACGAGGCGGATTTCGTGGACCAGGAAGAGGTCGTGGTAACTACCAACCTCGCAACCAAAGTAATGAGAGAAGTTTTGGCGAAGGGAGAGGGTTAAAAAGAGAGGAAAGAGTTTTAAAGAACGCGGTAAATCAAAAGACATTCAATGCTATAATTGTCAAAAATATGGACATTATGCATTGGAGCAAACAAAAGGATCAAGGCAATCGATTAAATTTTGCTAAATCATCAAGAAACAATGAAGAAAGTCCAACATTGTTACTAGCACATGAAGAAGCTAGTAATCCAGCAAGACATGTTGTTTTTCAATTCCGGAGCTAGCAACCATGTGTGGGAGAAAAGAATTTTTTATTGACCTTGATTAGAAGATTCAAGGTTATGTAAGTTTGGAAGACTCATCCAAATTACAAGTTGAAGGTAAAGGAAAATTACGATTTATTCTTAAGAATGGAAATGAAGAATTCATTTATAATGTTTATTATGTGCCTAATATGAAAAGTAACATTCTCAGTATTGGACAACTTTTGGAAAAAGGATATATTGTTCATATGGAGGGTAATAATCTTCAACTAAAAGATAATAGTGGAAGAATTATTGCTCAATCGAAAATGGCGAAGAATTGCATGTTTCCGCTGCAACTTAACATCGAGGTTCAAAAGTGTTTCTACGATGTTATGGAGAATGAGTCATGGAAATAGCATAAACGTTTTGGGCATTTGCATTTCAATGGCCTAAAACTTTTGCAATAAAAGAATATGATGCATGGATTACCTACCATTGAAGACCCTAAACAAGTTTGTGAAATATGCACAACGGGAAAACAAGCTAGACTTCCATTCCAAAAAGGATTATCATGGAGAGCTAAAGCACCATTAGAATTGGTATACACAGATATATGTGCACCATTGGAGCCAATATCTTTGGGAGGTAATCGCTATTTTATTACCTTCAATGATGATTATAGTAGAAAATTGTGGGTGTATATGCTGAAGGAAAAGTCGCTGCATTTGATACATTCGTACAATTTTGATGTAAGTTGAAAACACTTAGGTCTGATCGAGGGGGCAAATATACATCAAATATATCCAAATATTTCTGTAGAGCTGTAGGAATTAGACAACAATTTACAGCCTCCTATACACCACAACAAAATGGAATTGCTGAATGGAAGAATCAAACAATTCTAGACATGACGCGAAACATTTTGAAAGAAAGAGGATTGCCAAAGCAATTCTGGGTAGAAGTTGTTTCATGGACAACTTATAATCTAAATTGTTGTCCTACAAAGAGTGTAAAGAATATGACACCACAAGAAGCATGGAGTGGTGAGAAGCCAAATGTTAAACATTTTCGAGTATTTAGGTGCATAGCTTATGCTCAAATACCCGAGGCAAAGTGAAATAAGTTAGATGATCGAGGTGAAAAATGTATCTTCATTGGATACAATTCACAATCCAAAGCTTATAAATGGGATGATCAAGAAAAAGAAAAAGAGAAAATTGTGTTTGAACACTATTTTGATATTACAGAGAAGAGTTCTGAAAAAACTCAACCAAGGACTCTAACAAATAATAATGATACATCATCATCATCCCCATCAATTGAAGGATCGAATACAACATAAAAAACAGCTGTTAAAATGAGCATATATGAAGAAACAAATGAAGTTAATGAAGTTGATTTATTCTAATTATATGCAGACCACGAACCCATTAATTTTGAAGAAGCATTAGGAGAAGAGGAATGGAGATCCTCTATGAAAGAGGAGATCCGATCAATAGAGAAAAATGATACATGGGAGTTGGCTACATTACCAAAGGGCCATAAGGCTATAGGTGTAAAATGGGTTTATAAGATAAAAAGAGGTGTAGATCGAAGCATTAAAAGATACAAGGCAAGACTTGTAGCAAAAGGATACAAGCAAAAGTATGGTGTTGATTATGATGAAGTATTTGCTCCTGTAGCTCGTTTAGACACTCTCACATGCCGCACATCACAAATGGAAGATATATCAACTTGATGTTAAGTTAGCATTTTAAAATGGAATTTTAGAAGAAGTTTATGTGGAACAACCAGAAGGTTTTGTCATCAAGGGAAAAGAAGATAAAGTGCTTCGTTTGAAAAAGGCACTTTATGGTCTAAAGCAAGTCCCACGAGCTTGGAATACACATATAGACGGATACTTGATCCAGAATGGTTTTATCAAGTGTTCGTATGAACATGCAGTCTATGTGAAGATTAATGGTGATAATATACCATAGTAAGCTTATATGTTGATGATCTATTATTCACCGGCAACCGTCAAAGTATGTTTGATGATTTCAAAGCGGCAATGTTCAAAGAATTTGAAATGACAGATTGTGGGCTAATGAACTTCTTTCTAGGCATTGAGGTAAAGCAATGTGAAGATGTACTTTTTATTTCACAAAAGAAATATGCAAAAGAAATACTTGAGAAATTTAAAATGGGCTCATGCAAACCCATGAGCACTCCCGTCGCAACAGGGTTGACAAAAGTTGGAGAAGGAAAATTGATTGATCCAAATTTATATAAGAGTCTAGTTGGAAGTCTGAGATACTTAACTATCATTGTATATGGAGTCGGGCTTGTTAGCAGATACAAAGAATCAAAGAATCGCATTGGTGCACTACAAAGAGAATAGTTAGGTATATTAAAGGTACCTTAGATTATGGGATGTTTTACTCTTATGGAGATGAAGCAACGTTATACGGCTATTTCAGATAGTGAAAAAGTACAGCAGGATATGCGTTTTATCTAGGATCAACTGCTTTCACATGGAGTTCGAAATAACAACCAGTTGTGGCATTGTCAAGTTGCGAAGCAGAATATATAGCATCTTCATCTGCCATATGTGAAGGGTTATGGTGAAAGAAATTGGTCATGCTCAAGAAGGACCAACTACGATCTATGTAGATAATATGTCAGCAATAAAACTTGCTAAGAATCCAGTACAACATTGAAGAAGCAAGTATATTGATACTCGATTTCATTATTTCGAGATCAAATTAAACAAGGAACAATCACTCTGAAGCAAGTAGCTGACATATTTACAAAGCCCCTATCTTATGAAACATTTAAAAAACTAAGAGAGTTTCTCGGGATGAAAATTAAAGTTTATGGGGGTGTGTTGAGAGCCACAAACTTTAATTTTAGAATTACTATTAATACTTATATTAGAATTTGATATAAGTTTGAGAGGTTATTATCAAGTATGATTCTCATCCTCTATATATTTAGTTAAAGGGAAGCTATATATGTAACATGTTTATTCCACTGTAATCAGTAAAAGAGTAGAAAGAAAAGAAAGAAAAAAAATAAGGAAGCATAATAGTGAAGAAAAGAGAGATTGAGAATTAATAAAGAGAATTTTATTATTTGGGTTGTAACATACATTTATTCCTCCTATATATCTCCTTATTATTATTTGAGTTAGCAATTTGTAAATTGATATAACTCCTACAGGGCATTGGGTTGTGGGGATCATTACTTTTGTTCACAGAAGAGGGGAGTTTTTTTTTTTTTTTAATTATTTTCATAGAACTCGGGAAAAAAAGTGGGACCTATAAAATACGGGACCTATGAATGGGACCATTCTATTGGCTGAAAAAATGGACGTGTCTGTCCACTACCTAGGGACAACTCTACAAGTAAAGCATGTCAACACGGAGGGAGTATGTGCCTAACTAGAAGGCACTGAGATGGATACAGGGACAAATACGGGACGTGGGCGGGAACGGAAAACGGCAAAATTAAAAATGTAAAAAACAGGAGCGGCAAAAAAAAATGTAAAAATTCAGAAATTTAAATCCATACTTAAGTCATAACCACAAATTCAAAGGCAATTTGGATTTTAGAGTTGTATTATGTGTTAACCAACCCCCCTACTCGTGCTACTACCAACACTGTGAGAGTCCATTCAGGTATAGCTACTGTATTATTTTCAAAAATAAAAATAAAAAATCTTAAGCTGAAAGAACAGATTAAAATAAATAAATAAAAAAAAAAAGGAAGTAGCTTTCTCAAAATAAAATAAAAAAGGAAGTAGAAAGAAAAGAAAAACAAAGGCAAGAAGAGACTACTGGTCGCCGGAGACTGAAGATCTGACCGGTGTTTTGGTTTGGTCGACTAAATTGCATGCCCTAATTAAAATTTTCAACTAAAAGTAACTAAGTATATTCTATATTGGGCCCTTCTTTATTTTTGAATTGGGATTGAGCTCTTGGAATTGCTCTTGGGGACGGCCAAAAAGAGGTGAACGTCCCCTGAATTTGCGCAGTCCGTACCCAATTTTGATTGCCATACCCAATTTTTTGGAAACGTCCCGGGGACGTATTTTTGCCGTCCCCGTCCTCTAGCCGTCCCCGGTATGGGAAACGGCCATAAAGTGCCGTACCCGTCCTTCCTAGGTGCCTAATATGAATGAATAACGCTTATTACTTGGCATTTGCATTTTAGTGGCCTTATACTATTACAATTGAAAACATGTTACATGGATTGCTTACTATTGATAATTTTAAATAAGATTGTGTAATATTCACTATTGGAAATCAAACTAGACTTTTACTTGTATTGTAGAAAGGGCTTTCATGGGGAGCAAAAGCACCATTAGAATTAGTAGTTTCTATAGAGGTGATCCTAAAGCCAATATCTCCATAAATATACATACTCTCCATTGAGATAATGTAAAAAGGGAAAAAGGCCAAAAGAGAAGATTAGCTTATTTTTTTATTTTTAATATAAGTTTGAGCCAGAAATTGCCTCTTAAAATAATATATTTGACTGTATTGTGTATAAAGGAATGATTGTATACTTTCACCTCCACAAACCATGCCTTTGTGAGATATGTAGTTTTTTGCTAGGTTCAAAATTTAGAGTGACTTGTTATTTACTTTAAAGCGCTACACCGCTACATAAATTCTTGATCATGTAACTTACTGTTACCTACGAATTTTATCAGCCATCGGTGACTACAGATGAAATTGATAAAGCTGTACACCAGATGATCATTGATGCTGGAGCTTATCCTTCACCTCTAGGCTATGGTGGGTTTCCAAAGAGCGTATGTACTTCAGTCAATGAGTGCATGTGTCATGGCATACCTGATTCTCGGCAGCTACAGGTTCATTGATTGTGGTAATTACCTTTTTCTGGATTCACTAACCATTTTGACTTTCGACTTATCCTGATTTTTTTTTTCTTTCGAATGCAGGATGGAGACATAATAAACATTGATGTGACAGTTTACTTAAATGTACCTTCTTGTCCTCTCGTGTTCATAGATTTGATTTGTGGGCTGTCTTAAAAATAACTGTGTACATAATTTTTAGCCTCTTCAGTGCTTAATTTAGTAATGCAACCTCTATGTTGCTATGTCCTCTATCTGGTGTTTACCTACAACTGTTTGTCATACATTCGTCTGTTTTGTCTGTACATAATAGACTACACTGGATTTTATCTCAAACTTTTTTTTTTTGATAGTTTATAGATTTATAATCTGTATTATGGTATAATAGTAGAATTGATTGGTTAAAATTGACATCTTTTTCATAAGAGTCACCGAAGGCTTGCTGTTTGTGAAGAGTAATATTTGTGTTTTCCAGGTCAATGAGACAATGAGTGTTTAATCCTTTGTTTATTATTTTTAACTAGGGTTATCATGGAGACACATCAAAGACATATTTATGTGGTAATGTCAATGATGCAATGAAACGGCTTGTGAAGGTATAGTCTTGTTGTGGATGAATTCTTTAAGGTTTACATGTTTTCAAATGCTTGAGATCATTATTCCTCTTGGAATACACTTTAAAAAATGTTGATGTAAGTGCTTGTTTTTGCTGATTATTGTAGTAGCTGTGGCAAATGTCTTGTATGTTCTGCTTCTTAATTGGCCTTGTAATATTTACTTGATCTACTCTTAGGTAACACAAGAATGTTTAGAGAAAGGAATAGCTGTATGCAAAGACGGCGCTAGCTTCAGGAAAATTGGAAAGGTTATCAGGTACCTGCTTGGAAAATTTTAGTGCTTAGTCAACTACTGTATGAAAAATGTGGATCTTGGAATATATATGTTAGAAGTGTACTGTACTTTAGGAACAATTTTCAGTAACAGCTATGTAATATTCTCTTATTTCAGTAATTGAAAGCATCTTCGGCAAAAAAAAAACCCCTCTCTTTTTTAGTTTCTTACCTGTTTATTCTGTGAGGGTTCTAACTTAAATCTTTTGGAAACAAATTCCTGAGGTATGACAAGGAAATGATTACCAATGAATTGATCACTACAATGTTTTACCTTACAACAAAAGGCGAGGCAATGATGTGTCTAAACTTTTTGTGTATCTGGCTTTTATTGATCTAGTGGACAAAATAGTTTGTGTCATATGATCATCATATTTCAGTTTAATAGATTATTTATTATTCCCTGGTCTTCAGCTAATTTTAAATAGTGTAGTGTGGCCCATGGTTAGAATTGTGATATCTTGGTAGACTTATGTGATCACCCAACAGAGATATGATGTTACATTAATATCAATTGAGTTTTAATTTGGACCAACATAATGGATTGCCTAAATTAATCAAGGAATGGCTAAAGTGTGTATTTTAAACTTTCAAGTGTTCATGATTTGATTCCCGATTTGAAGGAGGTTTGCTTTTTTCTTGACGGCATATCAGACCTCATATTTAGGCCTTGTTTTGTTCACTTTATTTTTGCTTATTAGATCTCATCTGAACTTAATTTTTCTGATTTAATCTTATCTAATTTGATTGTCTAATTTGACCAAACTTTGAACTTATATGTAAGCTAATCTATAAAGAAAAAAATAAATATATCAAGTGGGGTCTTATTAGATTCATAATAATGTGCATTTTATTAATATGTAATTTTCATAATTTTTTTCATCACACAATTAAAGATATTAAGTGATTAAAAACTGCACATAAAACGATATTGTTTGTTTATGACTTATTTTTTTCTTGTATGAACTTAATTTTTCTTATCTGATCTGATTTGAACTTATTTTTTCTGATATGATCTGAATTAAGTAATAAGGTCTTGAAATTAGTTGAACTAAACATAGCCTTAATTTTGCCATATTTTAGTAGATTGGCTTGTTTGCATCTACTAATTAATGGCCACTTGCATCACATGTTTAAGCCAGCTGATAGAAATGGTGTAATTTGTGCAATCTTGTCTTATTTTCCAGTGATTTATGCTAGAAATTTAGTCCAAAATGTTTCTGATTGGTTATGTCTAATGTTGTTTTCAAATATGCTTAACAGTGAGCATGCTGAGAAGCATAATTATGGTGTGGTGGATCGTTTTGTTGGCCATGGTGTTGGAACTGTGTTTCATTCCGAGCCAATTATTTACCATCATAGTGAGTACTTTGTATACAATCTTTATTATCAACTACCAAAACCATGGAGATGATGCTTTTCGCTTACTCTTATCAGAGTTTATAGATTATATATATACCATCTGTGATTGATAAAGTTAAATCATTGAGAAATGAATATCTAATGTTTTACTGTCTCAGATGTATCACTTGGCAGCCCCTCCCTTTATTGGTACTTTTAGAATGCAGCAGGTTTTTTGTTTCTTATTTTAGTGTGCGTAGGTTAACTGACTGTGGCTAACTTGGCTAACTTTGAGGTTGAAGTGTTGCTTAAGGACCATGGAGAGACTTAAAGATAGAGACATCAAAGAAAGTCATTGAAGTATCGGGTTTTAAAGAGCTATGCTTTGGAAATTAAAGATTAGCAACAGCAATTCAGTATATATTAAGGAGACCATTGGTTACCATGGGTTTTTTTATGCTGCTAATATTGTTAGTTAATTTTTCTTATATAAATTTGCAACAACTTAAGGTGAATTAAAGAGAAAAGTTATAACGGAATTCTAGATTTTGCAATTTATACTTACAAACACTCTTATAGGCTGTCTCACTATGGCTATATCAGACATGAAGTTCCAATGTGGGTATGAGCATCTGGCTTTACATATTAGGCCTAAAGCTTACTACGAGTACATTTTTGGTAAATGGGCAAATGTAGCACTTGTCAGTTGTCACATACCCTATTGTATTTTTGTTGTTCAGTGCATGTATCAACGGTGTGTAGTAACCTTTTATTGATATATATGTATCTTTTTGTGATTCATATAGCTTAAAGTACGCAAGAAACTGTATGCAGTATGGTAACTCTTCATTCCTAAATGTTTCACTCACACAATCAGTTCGATCACTAAAAAATATTATCTTGCTTTGATGCTTCATTGCCTCTCTCTAAATTTATTCTGTATGATAAATTGACAGGAAATAATCATCGAGGTGAAATGGTTGAAGGTCAAACGTTTACAATCGGTAAGGGTATCTGATCTATTTCAATATGGATATCTAAACCTGGTGTCTGAATTTAACTAGTGATACAACCAAGCATGCACAATGTTTCACCATCTTGCACCCACAAGAAGAATGTATATTTTACATTTCTCCAATTGGTTTAAAGTTTGAATTTATATTTAGGGTTTTTCTAAACTATGCTCCCGTGGTTGTTGAGTTTCTAAGTCATGCTTTTACAAAATTGCAAGATGTATCCTCCAACTTAAGATGTTTATTTAACCTTACCCTCTGACGTTAACCCAACGTTAGTGGTTGTGTTAACTGATAATTACCCTACTTTGGAGAGAAATTTCACGCCCAAATTGGGTTAGAGTTATACAAGATGATTAACATTAAGCATTTTTTCCACATTTTCTCATCTACATTTTCTTCTTTCTTCTAAAAACAACTATTGATGTGTCAAACTCTTGGTGTACTTCTTCTTTTTTTCTCATCCGTTTCTATTACTTCCTGTGTTTTTTTACAATTACTAACATCTAGTTAACGTCAGAGGGTGCGGTTGATTAAACCTTAAGTTTGGGGGCACAACTTGTAATTTTGAAAAAGCATGGGCACACCTTAGAAACCCAACAACCTCAATAGCATAGAAATCCCTTATTTTTATTTATTAGAAAGAAACTAGGAGTATGCTTCTGTTCTTTTGCATTGATATGATGCTATGGTTTGCATTACTTTGTTTATTGAGCTTACATTTATCTATCTTCACTATGAACCTAGCTCCAAAATCATTATTATTCATGCCAGAGAACACCTCAGTATGTTTCTCAGTGAATCTTATTTCACTCTTTTTAAATGCAGAACCGATTCTTACGATGGGAAGCATCGATTGTATTACATGGGGTGATAACTGGACGGCTGTTACAGATGATGGCAGGCCTGCTGCACAGTTTGAGCATAGTATCTTGATTACAAAGACTGGTGCTGAAATTTTAACCAAGTGTTGAACTAAATGCCACGGAATCTGTGCTGTGTGCATTGCATGTATACATTAAATGTATCTATGCTGTATATAATTTTTCGCTATGCTCCAAGTCCGTATGTTTATGAACCAAACAAAGCTAAGTGTGGTGATAAGCTGTGACCAACCTAGAGGTCGTGGGATCAAACCCCTTTAGTCCTCTTGGCAATGGTTTTCTGTACCTCCCCCTCCCTCGAAAGTTCAACTAGGTTGGGATCCCTCTGGGTCCTGGCAATGGCAATCTGATAGAGTGGTGATAGGCAAATAAAATATTTTGTTATCATTACTCATATTGCAGATTCTGTAATTTGTTGTAGTCCTGCTGTATGCAAATAATCATTTTGTAGGTTTCCAAAATTAAGGAATAACATTTTGAAGGAATAATGTTTGTGAATTTTTTTTATTTTTTTTTCCTTTTTGTTGCATAGTCTTTTAACTTTCGAGGATTAGTGTCTTCAAAGATTCTACCTATTTGCACAACTATTATGGCCAATAAAAAAGGGTCTTACTATTAACCAATTTGGCTTAAAAGGTCCCAGTGAAATTTGGTATTAATTTTTTGTTTTTTGGAAATTATCATTGGTACATATCTAGTATGACGTATTGACTTTTCTCATTGATCTGAACTTTTTGCCTTCCTACTCTTACACTTGTGGTTCGGTCTTTTTCCCAATTGTGACTAACACTATTAATAACTAGCAAATTAAGCTAACTAATCAAGGTTAAGAGTATAATACCCTTTTTAAACATCTAATTATTTGGGCCGGGCAATGTTCCGGGTCACTACTTTTTTTCTTATAATTAAATTGTTATACATATTAATATTTTGTATCAAAAAATATAACATAAAATATCACATAGCTTGGTGGTTAGAACTTCGCTTCTAAAATTAGAGGTTGCATGATCAGACCTTGTAGAGAACTTTTTTTTATTATAAGTGCATGGGGTCATTTTAGCCCTTAAGGGTCTATATTGACCTCAAAATTAGCAAAAAAAAATAACGCAAATGTCTCGTATGCGTGTCAAGAAATTTCTCGATATGCATGTCGGTATTTTTTTCGTGTTAATAATTGTTCAGTTAAGCTCTTAGGGGTCCTTTTGGCCATGTATGGACCTATTCGAGCTCGAAATTAACAAAAAAAATATTGTGAAAAATTCCTCGATTTACGTGGTCACAGTATAAATCGAGACTTTTATAGGATTCTTCAAAAATTCTAACCCATTCAAAAATTAACAATGCTCACAGCGTTAGAAATAATTACTATGATGACTTGTTTCTCAAAAGTATAAACAACTAGATGAAGCCCGTACGATGTACGGTTTATTTGTATTTTTTAAAACAAATATTTTTTTGTATTTGCGTGATAAATTTGTTATTTTATTCGTTGTATGTTGTATATCATTTAATATTTTATTTTAAAATAAATTGTGAATTTCCGGTAAAACAGATAAAGTTCCTAATTTCAAAAGATAATATATTATATTTCTTAAATTTAAACTTTAAAATCTCATTCGCCAAATTTTCTTATGTGGCATTTGAATTATTTAATTCTTAAAGAATTTACAAATCTCTTATTTGATTGGCTATCACTAAAATTTACTATCTTACATGGTGCGTTAAGAAAATTTTATTCTACGTGGCTCTCTAAATACTCGGAAAAAAACTCCCCTTTATATATATACCTCGGATACCCATTTTAAAGAGTGCACTTATTTGTGGACATGTTTTGTATTATTATTATAATTATAATTATCATAATAATAACAATAATAAAAATTTTATTATTAGTATTTATATTTTTTAAAATGTTAGATACAAAAAGAGAGTAGAAATACTACCTATTATTCTTTTTTCACGTTTGTTATTATTTTTCGTTTTTATAAGTTGCATTATATTCACTTGGTTTACTACGACCCATGTTTGTGAATTATACATAAATATATATAATTAAAATATTGTTTATCAAAGTTCTATGTTGACATAGGGCTAAATTTCAATGGGACACTAAAATAATAGAGGGATGTATAATTTTGTGAAAAGAAGAGTGCGTCGGTAAAAAAAAAAAAAAAAAAAAAAAAAAAAAAAAAAAAAGGGTTATATTATTGGTTTAATTGGACCATTTGTAATATAATGGGTGGTAAATGGGCTACGGAGGCTTTGTAAAACCCTTAAAGTTCTAAGATCTTGCTAACATTGATCTGAATTCACTTTAAGATTCCCTTGTATTATACAGTTTATGTTGTGTCCTAATTTTAGTAGTTTTTTACTTCTTTAATTTCATTAACAAAATCACAAAAATACACAAAAATATTACAATCGAATATGAAGAATACCTTATTCAAAAGTTTTAATAATGGTAAATCAATGGTAGACTAAAAAAAATTAATGATACATGGCCATATTTATAATTATAAATACGTGGTTATTCGTATAAGAGTAAAATTCTATTGTTAATTGGATATTCATATCAATTATAATATGTAGTGTGTTGCTTTATGTAAAATTCTATTGTCAATATAAAAAGATAATAATTATAAAATATTTATGTATACTTTTTTTTTTATTTATAAATTATAAATAATGAAAACTGCCACTAATGGTCGTCGAAAACGACCGGTTTAGGGCCTAAGTGGTCGAAAACGGTGGCCATACACCGGTCGTTTTCGACCCTTAGCGGTCGTTTATGGTGGTCGTTTTTAGGGGTGTGAAAAATGGCCACCGTTTTTGGTGGCTGTTGTGGTTGGGTTGCTGGTTTTAGGGAGAGGACAGAGTGGGGGTAGAGAATCCGGCGGTTGGGGCTGGGAACAGCGGTGTTAGGGTGGGGTAGTGGCGGCGACGTGCTGCCGACGGTGGCCGGAGTGGGTGGCTGGGTTAGTTTTAGGGGTTTTGTTTTATTTTTAATTTTTTTATTAATTTGGACCAATAATATGTTGACACGTATAATTTGGACCAATAATATGTTGACACGTAGGCATTATGGGTCCCACTACGGATTCCATGTTAAGTGGTGGTAAAACCTTTTTTTTTTTTTTGTAGTGTTAAATAATTTTTTTTATTTTTTTTTGGTTATTTTTTTGTGGTGTTAACAACCATTTTCGTGTTTTTTTTGTGGTGTTACAATTCAAAATTTTCTTTATTTTATATCTTATAAATGTTACTCTGTATGGCATATCTTTAAATAGTACAATACACATATCTTCCTACTATAGCATATTTCTTGGACAAAAATAACATTATTGTATTTTAATTTTAATTTTCAGCTATATATGTATTACTTATTTATTTTTTCCACTACCACAAAGTGTATTAAATGCACAATTATTTAAGTTCCGATACAATTTTTATTTTCTCAATATTTTGATTAGAATATTTTTTTATTATCAAATGGGAGAGCTTTTTTTTTAATGTTTTAATTGGTTTCTCGCCTAATTATAATACGAAGGACATAAGAAAATAAAGGGAGTATAACAATATAGCTTAAGATTGTGTCAAAAAAAACAATATTGCTTAACTTTACAAATCCAGATCTATATATGCATGAAATCATGTGCGAAGTAAGATAATTTGATTAATTAAAACTTCATCTTTTTATATTAATCTCCAATATTTTCTTGTTATTATATTTTGTTAGGGAAAAAAATTAACCAAATATCATTAAAACGGGGCTATTATTCCTTTCGATTTGGTGTAACACATAATTTAAAATACTTATTTGGCTAATAAAAAGGAAAATTATACTCATTTGTCATTGAATTTTTTAATCGACTCTTTCGTTATATATATTCCATGTTTTATTTTATTATGTATACGAAATAAGAACAAAATAAATACGAAGTATGTTATATTTATATTTTGTCCATGTTATTTATTTTTTAAAAAAAATATTTTTAAATTAATATAGTAAAACTACCTTGTATGACACGGATCCCAACCTAGTTTTAAATTAATTGTCACAATTGTGCATTGACAAGGAAACAGATAATCTGGATAGGATAGAGTATAATAAAGCGGCCATATTTGCCAAAAACCCCTAAATAACAAAGCCTTACCATACAACCTCCATTAGAATAAATTACATGATTAGTACCTCATTAATCTCATTACAAAGTTTTTTTAAAAAAACAGCTCATTCACTTTGTCTTTTATTGATCATCTAACACTAATCACTTTAATTAAGCCCTTAATTAGTGTAATTAGGGGCAACAGCATGTGGCTCACAAGCTTTAGCAACAGGAGAAGGCTCAACAGCAGGAGAAGGAGTCACAGCTTTTGTCACCAATTCTGAAGGTAAATCCTTAATCCCTTTTAACTTAAATGTGTAAAATAATTTAAATGGGAAAATTAACTGCTGTAATTTTACTGTCCCATAAACTCCTTCAAAAACTCCCGTACCTCCAGTAACAGTCAAACACGTGTCCTCGTATGTTAAGTAGGGGCCTTGAACTGACAGGTGTCCGTAGTCCCCAAAGTAGAAGCTGTAGATTGCCTCGTATCTGTCACCTTTTTTTTCCGGTACATGTTGGATTAAAATGCATAGTCCTGCTGTCACTCCTAACCGTTTCTGCAGGTCACCGGTGTAAATCTTGTTGCTGAATGGTACGAGGTCTCCAAGTGAGTTAACCTGTTTCTGACTTAGTCTTAGGTATGCTGGACTTCCTCTGTCTCTCTCGTTTATCTCATACACACACAACTCTTGTACCTTAGCTGAATACACATTCATTATTCAATTAGACAAGTTAAGAGTATGTATGTACATTATGCGATACGTTGGTGTAGCGGCGTACCATGCACACGATATATTCAGTACTCGTTATTTGGTTTTTTAATAAACTCAAAGCTCTCCGATAAATAAAAAAATAAAAAATAAAATCTTGGGTTTACAATCAGCGGTGGATCTTGAACAAAAAAATTAAGGGGTCGGATTTGAACGGTTCAAATAGCTTGTTAGAAGTATACTCTATAAATACTTAACTAATGTGTCAGAACTTCTTAAACTTTTATCGTTACCTTTTAGTTGAAATGTTTTGATTTTATACATATTCATATGAGCTTAAAAAAAAAAAAAAAAAAAAAAAAAAAAAAAAAAACATTACTCATATGAGTTACTTTGACTTCTTTTGGGATTTATACTTAAGAAGAAACACATATAGTACAGTCATCTTAGTTCTTGTCAAATTCGCCTCTGTATTTTTCCAAACGTATAATGACAAATCTAATTTTGAAATTATATACTGACAAATGATGAGCCTAAAGAGAGGACTGGCCTTTGGTCCTTGCAAACCTCAACGAAGATCCTCCACTATGTAAGATGTACCTTGATGGAGATGTATAATGAAAGTTGGCGCAAATCACTAGCGAAATTATTGTGTGTTGTTAGTGGATTTTATTTAAGTCAAGGTACAGTGTGGACCGTAGAGCACTTAAAGGTTGAACTACATTAGTTCTAGTCTCATTCAAATTTTGATTTATGTTCTCCATTTATGCAACATCAATTACATCATTACTGATCAAATTGGCAAATAAACTCTCTAAAAATTTATGTATACTTCTTACATTTTAAAAATAATTGACAAACTTGTACTTGATAAAATATATCAACTCTCTAAAGAGCAAACATCATGATATTTTCGTAATTATATTAACAAACATGGACCCTTATTTAATAAAAATAATGTTGATTTATTTACAAAGATGATGAACTTGATAAACATATCAAAGGTGATCAACTTTTATTTTTAAGGTCAACCTATTGTATTATATTAACAAATATGTCAAGTTTAATCCTGTCAACTAGCACTAAATACAATCGGATGTATAATACATTCCCGAGCATTTAGCATATTTCCTGGATCTAGATTAACCTTATCTAGTCATCATAAGCACTTCAATATTAAACAAGGAAATCTAACAAAAAACATGCATACACTCATTATAACAAAAATTAAGCAAAAAAAATTATTAATAAGATGAGACAATTTTGAAATAATTACTGAACTAATCTAAAAAGGGAGAAGATCGATGACATACTATTACTTGGTCGTGAATCAACAGGTTCAGGCTCAGGCTCAGGCTGAAGGTCGGACTTGGTTTTTTTGAAGTAAAAACCAGTGATTGAATGTTGTTATTAGTGATCATTTTCAGAGATTGAGATGAAAATGAGTGGCAAATCTTAAGGTTTTGGGGAAGTAAAGATGATATTTTTGTTTTTGAGGGATTACATTTGAGAGATGATAGAGCTTTCATGGATGCCATTAATGATGAGGAAGCCATTTTTTATAAAAACAGAACTCAAAAAGGAAGAAAGAAAATGGAGAAAAAATTGAATAGTTAAGGTTGGAGGTATAAGAAGTGTAGATAATTGTTGATCTTATATAGAACGTGAAAGTCAATTTGTTATGTTTAATGTTTAGATGCTCTTTCCATCTAGTTTCTTCCCATGTGTGTGTTTCTTTCCTCTATACCTCTATACGTGTACAATTAATATTTCCTTTGTTTCTTTTGTTTTTCTTATTTTGATTTTTAAAAGATTAGATTCGGAGGTATAGATAGGCAAGTGTGAGTCTTAAAAACCATGCAAAGTCAATATGGGAACAAAATGCAAAAGGAGCATTTTGAATTTCTTTTTTCGTTCAATACTCCCTTTGTTCTTTAAAAATGTACTTGTATTCATTTACTTTTGTAGTTTTGTTTGTAAATAAATATGTATGTTATTATTGACTTGAAATTATTGTTATTGAACTTAAATTATTTTCACTTAACCGAAAGTCTTCTTACCAAACCAAAAATATTTTTACTGATTAAAACTTATTTTTATTGATTCTTTGTTATTTTTTTAACCAAATTAAATATATAATAAATGGATCTTATTTTAAAGAACTTTTTGAAACGAATTATATGATGGAAATAAAACCGAGTTTTACGATATTTATTAAAAGTTATGATTAAGTTTGTATATAATGAAATGTTAGAAGTATATATAGTGATAATAAAATTCAATACAACAATTTTATCTTAAAAAAATCTATTCTAGAATCGTTTATTTAGCATCATATGTCTGACACAATAATACATATTTGTTGCCTATATAGTGCGACACTCAGCGAAAAACTAAAATGATAAGTGTCGTTGTCTCGTAACCTGATTGCGAGACCGACTTTATTTATTAGTGATATAATATTAGATTTTAAATATGTGCGGAACATTTATGTAGAAAACAAACGTGGTATTACGAATTACTCGATGTTAATAAATAGCGAATAAAGTCAATATAAAATTATTTCATCAACTCGACCAAAACCATAGAATAATAAACGAGCAATACATTAATTCGCGTAATATCTTGTTGTGTAGCGTGACTATGTCTATAATAAACGTCATTGGTGTCCAAAACTCACCAACCATCGATATAATTTGATGAGAAGTGGTAAATTAAGCATATGTTTAGACTTTAATATTAGCCGTCTGATTAATCATTTTTATGATTAATTAATATTGCTAACTAAATCCAACGATGGTAACTGTTTCGAACATATGGCAACTGACGAAGTTACAAAAGGTAAACCTATAGAAGTTGTTTTAAATATAGGTGAATTTATAGCACTTGGCATATTGTTTGTTTTTTAATGAGCAACTAGTATTCAACCCGTGCGATGCACGGGTTAAATTTGTATTGAATTATTATTGAAAGAGTAAAATGTGATAATATTACAACACCAAATTATAGTGATAGAAGTTAATACAAAAGTTAAGCACAAATTGTGAATTTAATGTTGCCTATCTATGCACAACTTATTTCATTCTACAACATTCAATGACCTGTAAACAAAAAAAAAACAAAAAAAAAAATCAATGACCTATAGTGATGATGAGTAACAATATACTAATGTACTATACATACAAATTCAATACATATATGTGCTGTTGAAAAACCAACCTTAGTTCATGTACCATATCAATTTGATTATGCCAAGTGTAGTGATTAAAACTTAAAGATTAAAACTTGTATGATATAAAAGGATTTGAAATATTTATGCCTTTAGGTTGAATAAAATTATTTTTCAAATTTGTATACAAATATATAAAAGGAAAAATTACTTTAAATAATACCACCTTTCACCCGTCCGCTAAACAAGTCGATCTTTTGATTATCTCCAAATAATACCACCTTTGGGGGGTGTCCGCTTTAAACAAGTCATGACCTGTTGTTGACTTGATTAATAGGTATATGGGACACAAGTCAATGTTTAATTGGGTTAAAAAAATTTATTTTGTTTTTTATTTAATATTTTATTTTTTAATAGGTAATAATATTAATTATTATTATTATTATTATTGTAAAAAAAAAAAAAATAACTCCAAGGATGGGTTTTTGGTGGTTTTGCGGGGAATGAGGGTTATGGGGAAGGGGAGTTCGGTGGTTCAGGCCTGCGCCGAGGAAGGGTGAAGGGAAACCGGTGGTCAGCCACCGGAGTAGCAGCCCACAACGCTAGCCAGAACATTTCCGGTCGAAGCACGAGCCCACGACGCCGCCATCCAGAACGTTCTCGGTCAGCGCACGACGTCTTCGGCAACTTCAACCACTAATGTTGTTGCTGCTACCCTTCCCCGAAAAAGCCCTTAATCTGAAGGTGGTGGTCGCGGCCAGGCCGAAAACCCACCACGACCACCGTCTGCCTTTATCGTTGCAACAATTGCACGACCACCTACCGGAACTCAAAGTTTGAAAACCGTGCAACAGTTGCACGATTTTCCAGCGATTCCTCGATCGCTCGCCGGAAACTACTCGCTGCCTTACTTCGTCGCCGGGGGAAAAGTAATCCGGATGAAGTGGCCGGCGCCAGGGGCTGGGAGAGAAAGGAGCGCCGGTGGTGGCTGGTGGATGGTGGAGGAGTTTTTTTTTTAAAGAAAATTTTAAAAAATATTTTAATTGTTAATTAACCATAATTAAAGTTGTTGTTAATAGTTAATTACATTGTTAAACGAATTTATTAAAAAGAAAAAAAAAATTAACCGGTTATTCAGGTTATAGGTAAAATGACTTGTTTAAAACGGACACCCCCCAAAGGTGGTATTATTTAGAGATAATCAAAAGGTTGACTTGTTTTTAGCGGACGGGTGAAAGGTGATATTATTTAAAGCAATTTTTCCTATGTAAAATTCAATAGGTTTACATGTACAAGCTATAGGAACTAAGAATGACAATATTCTCGATCACCTCCCAAACTATTCCATGATCAGGATTCTCCAAACCTTTTGCAATTCATCTCTAACTTTCTGCAACTAAAATTCACTAGCAATTATTAATGATCGTAAAACTATATAAAACATGCTAACTTTCAACATAATTTCTCCTTGTGATTATTCTCATCATAACCTTTACATCATAATTCAATTACTTGTAATCTACACGACCAATTAGTTACATTCTCTTCATCGAACTTAAAAGTCAAAATTTGGAGTATAAGATTAAAACTAAAAGTCATATACTCACCACGACAGCGACTTCCTTGTCCCGTAAATCTTCCAGATTGGCCAAGAAAGACTTATCAACAGTTTTCTGAAACAACAAGCAAATACTTAGCCAATACACGAATGAGGCAATATGACTATGCATATAAAAGTTTCATATGAGTAAACTAAATATTCTGTAAATTGATTAAATTTATATCATCATATTTTTGAAACTTACATGTTGAGAAAGTCGACATCCTAAACAATTATTAATACAATCCACTAAACGTTTAGCATGTCCATATCCAAAAATACAAAATACTAAGTGCACAAGAGAAATGAATACAAACCAAATAAGCTGACCAATTTTTCATCCCATTCATTAAAATATTTCTGTATAAAATGATTTTAATAGAAATATTCATTAAAGTATTTCTTAAAAAAAATAAAACCATCAAATAATATTACTCTTTATGTCACCCACAAAAAAAAAAAAAAAAAAAAAAAAAAAAAAAAAAAAAAAAAAACAGAGAAAGAGAGAGAAAAAGTTTAAATCAAAGAACAAAATCAAAGAACGAACAACATTATTCATGATGGAAGATATCAAATGAACTAAAACTTTCCATCATCCCTACAATTAAATAAATTTGGATAGCAACCAAGCTTCATAAACATTTACTAACCACATATGTTCAATCCTTTTAATACTGTAAAGATAAAATGATTTTTTTTTTTTTTTTAAAAAAACACATATGATCGAAAGAAATTCAACCTTAATCACATATATATATGCAACACTTAGAAGAAATCGGGCAATATAGAAATTGAAAAGAAACATGCAAGACAATATGTTCTCATAAATATGTTAAGTATTTTTTTAAAAAAATAAATTAAAGGAAAAAAAACAACAGTTGAATCAAAATAATGGAATACCTTTACAAATAAAATAATTGATTGATCCCAATCGGGGAAGAGAAATAGTAATCTAACACATATTTAATAAAGATTTGAAAAGAAAAAAGAAAAAGAGAAAAAGAGAAAAAAAAAAAAAAAAAAAAAAAAAAAAACTAAAATTGAATTGGGGAAGAAAAATAAATTCATTACCAATTAATGAAAACAGAAACTTTGCCGGGCAAAATCCATGTATCATAGCCCTGCACCCAAAAACATCATTTTAAGAATTGTCATCAACACCATCAACATTCAACACCATTATCAGAAAAGGAATTGAAATGTTCGGACAAAATTAAAACACAAAAATTGACAAATTTTGAGGAATTAAGGGGAAGAAAAATTACAACTAACCTTGTAAAATCAGACAGGTCGTTAGGAGAGAGAAAGAGGATTGATCGGGCAGCAGTGACGTATTTTATGTTTTTAGGAAAGCAGTGAAGAATTTGGAATCAATTTAGGATGTAGGAACTGAAGGAGAATAGTGTCGCTTGAGAAGAAGAAATTGAATGAAGTGTTAGTTTTTTTTTTTTTGGAAAATTAATGTGGCTCTTTAGATTTTATTTATGAATATTGAATGGAGAAACAGAAAGGAAATAGCGTTGTTTTAGAATCCTAAAAACTTAAAAAAAAAAAAAAATAAAAAAAAAAAAAAAAAAAAGGTGTTGTTTTAGAATCCTAAAGACTTAAAAAAAATAAAAAAATAAAAAAACTAAACAGAGAATGAAACTGAAGCGTTGTGTGAAATTTTTTTTGGATAAATCAAGAAAAAAAAAAATCAGGAAAACAAGAAGTTGGAAATTTAGGATAAATTAAGAAAAAAAATCAGAAAAATAGGAAGTAGACAAATGTCTTTCCAACTTTCTGTTTTAAAATATTAGTATTGATTTGGAAAGTTTGAAGTGGATGGCATGTTGCATGTCGGCATGTGAGATTGTGAGACTACTAAGACCTAGTATCAACACTCATAGTCTTTACAACGAAGCACAATACAATGTGCATACAAATATACAATGTGCAATTGTTTAACGAAAACATAAGACAGAATTTTTATCCGAAATAAGATCTGTAAAAGTTAAAATACTTTGAGGGAAGAAATTTATATAAAACCTCCGTTTTATATTATTTATAACAATTTGACATAAATATGAGTAATAAATATTTAATCATTGCAAATAATATAGAACGGCAATAGTAGACTGATTTAAAGTTATCATCTTTATCCCATCTCACAGTAAAGTGTAGGCCAGTGTGGCGTTTATCCGCAAAAACATACTCACCTACATATGCACGTTATTTGTTTCGAGTGTTGCACATTTTTCTATTAACAATTAGGTTTGGCTTTGCCAGCAAATACTTTATTTAAATTTATTTTTAGGTTTTTGGGCAAGGATTGAACTTGAACAGCAAAATAAAGATTGAACAATAATGAAAATGAGCAAAAACACTTTTATACTTACGAGAGCTACAATTGTCCTAAAAATTCTACATTAGGTTACTCTAATCTAAAGACATCGATAACTACTATCAAACGAGAATCTGTAAAATCCATTCTCCGACTGATTTTGCATTGATTGCTACTCTGCCATAAGAAAGTGGAGCATGTCATTAACCCAATGAGCAGGTCACCAAGAAGACATCAAGTTTCGATGGAAAGACAATGCAGTTGTCGAAGCTTTTCCCCGACACCTAATTCTTCCGTCTTCTCCAGAAGGATAACCCATGAGCAGCAGATAAGGAAACAGTAAAAAAAAAAAAAAAAAAAAATAATAATGAAAACATAGAACTACTAATAGAGTTATAAAAAGAGATGCTAAATCAGATCTGTTCAAACAATTAAAACTCAAGTGCAGCAAAAAGCCAAAAAAGCCAGTTCCCATGCAAGCCACACATCCCAGAAACACAGAATTTAGTATCTGCACACAGCACACTGCAGTAAATCACACAACTCCAGTGTCAGTGATGATGCAACTTTCTAGGAGATCTGCATCCCTTCAGCATGATAGGTCTCCAGCTCCTTGTCAAGATCCTCAGCAGATTTGTCTAAGTGCTTCTTTCCACGGCCCCGTCCTCTTCCCCGAGATTGACCACGGCCTGCACCTCGGGTTTGCGCTTGTGCACGTGCTGGGCCATTTCTAAATCCACCTCTTGTTCTTTGTTGTCTACATGTGTCAGCAAAACACAATCAATAACAAAAACAAAATCAGAGCCACACATTTCAAACTCTCAGAACACACACTAGTTATACTAAGGCGACATCAACATGTTGATTACATCTAGCAACAACAGTTTATACACAAAAAGAACATATATATTCCGTGCATAAATTTGTACTGGCAGATACAAGAAGCATCCAACATGGCTTATTGAGAAGTACCCAATCAATTAAACCAACAGATCAAGTGACATTTGACGAAAACCGTAAACAGCAAAAAATTAGAAAAACGAACTAAATTATCAATAAAGCAAAGTATATAAGGAATATTAAACTACTTCCTGAATATATGAATATATTTATAAAAACAAATGCAGCTACTAAGAAGCAACAAGTGAAAACTACAAGGGGCGGGGCGGAGGGATTTACACAAATAAAAGGAGTTGACATGAATGCAATGTCGATTGGATTTATCTACTTATGGTTCAAGAGACTGCTCTGTCATATGACATGGAACTATCTAGGACAAAATGTGGCATGGTGACATTGAGAAAGGGGTCAGATGTTATTGATAGTACCCTCGTACTACAACTTGTTAGTGACAAAATGCCCTTGCGATTTGAAATTTACCCTAGGTATACACAATTTTAAATTTATTGAGTACCCAACTGAATTTTAATGGGGGGAGGGGGGAATGTTAATGTTTGGGAAATTCATGAAAAGTACTCTCGTACCTTTTGACTCCTACCATTGGAAGATTGGACCACATAATGCAACTGTAATACAAGAAGTGTGCTCAAAAATAAATTGGTAGAGAATGTAATATTTATTCTTCTATTTTTTACTTAATACATTGTGCAAGTGAGAGCACAAAAATAAAAGTCAAAAGTACAATGGTACCATTTGTTACGAAATACTCGATCTATTTAAAATTTTAAATTAACCGTCAAAATATCCATCCAATCTAATCGACACACTTTCTATCAAGGCATGAAGTATTTTATTATTTCTCTTCCAACTACCAAAGTTAGGATCTCAGCATCTAACATCCGCTATCATTCAACTAAAAAAATCATCCACCATCCATCACATTTTTTTTATATTAAACATAATAGATAAGGCAGAAAATCATCACATAAAACTCTCCACAAAGGTATGTGACAATTAATTAGAGAGACAAAGTTTGTATAGCAACACAAGAAGTCAAAAGCACAAGGGTATCACATGCAATAAAAAAGAATTGTGAACAACTATAAAAGTCAAAAGTATGAGAAAACTATCAAGTAGAGCCAATGCATTCAAAACCATATTCGATTTGAAAAAAATCAAAACATCCAAAATTTCAAATCTAATAACCAGATATCAAATCCAAAGATCCAATCAACCTTTTTTTTAATGCTGAAGTTACTCATTTAATTTTCTAAAGTTCACACATTAATTCTTTTTTTTTTCCTTATGCTAAAAAAAGGGGAGGAAAGAGAAAGTGAGGGACATTCAACTAATTTGGATGACAAGGGAAGGAAATTTGCAGATCCATTTTCATTCTCCTCTTAAAAAAACAAATCACTCCATTGTTGAAATGATTAGGTAGGAAAATGAAAGCCCACACTTTTCCCCTCCCCTCACAACCTCTCTATTCCTCTTTTTCCCACCCCTCCTTTTTCTCCACAATTGCTAACCAAATAAATTGCAAGTTAAGAATTGACATAAAGGCAAGATTATTATCTCGCTTAATTATACAGCAACCAAACTATTCGACATTGAACTTCAACAATATATACTCCCTCCGTCCCATTTTACTTGCCCCATTTGACCTAAAAAACACACATTTTAAGTCAAATGGGGCAACTAAAATGGGACGGAGGTAGTATATCATTAAAGACTCTTACATAATAAATTCAACAACACATTCATATGATTTTTAAAGCAATGTTTACTAATATTTGTTGAAGCTAATTCTCATAAGATAAGGGCATCTTGGAAAATTAAATACAAGAGTTTATTGGACGAAAGACCAGCCTGTAGTACTATTAATAAATATAGGAGTGGGCTTTGCAGAATAGATGACAACTATCAATCTGCTTTTTGCTTAGCCACCAAAAAGAGAATTTTATATAAAAGAGAAGTCGGACAGCTAAAATGATCATAAATTTCCTAGTTAAACACTAAAATGTATGAGCACTAGCACCCTCAGTTCACAAAAAATGGAGAGGTGGAAACAAAAACGGTTTTTAGTACGTAGGGCTATTAACTTTCCTCCCTTCCTTGATCCATAACCTTGTCTGCAAGGTATTGGATAATAGATATGATAGTAAGTCCAGCCAAACAATCACAATATGTTGGCCAGAGATATCACTAGAACAAAAGAATCAAACAATTCAAAGCTATCAAAGCGCCAAAAACAGAAAAACTCACCCAAAACCACGATTTGTCTGAGCCGATGAAGCTGTACGGCCACCTCTTTGCCTGCATGAGATATAAGAAGATTATAGAAATCAAATGATGTAAATATATACAGAGCACCCAAGGGTGGGAGGGGGTGGGGAATGAACAGCTGCAAATGAGAAAACATTAGCAACATTCATTCACCTTCACAAGTATAAGAAACCAAAATGCACACACATTGCACCAATATTCCACACGAAAAGGATATCACATCTACGTCATCATCATCATTTGCTATCGGGAATATATCAGTATCGTGCAATGTTTCAAATGGATGATATGCGACCCATGCCTCAAACCCTTCTCAAAACAAACTCATCATCTCCTCTTTATTCTGTCCTCTACATAAAAAAAAATTCAACTGATCTTGCATTCAATCTAATCTCTCAACCCATCACTAAAATCCACTTTCCACTCATAACATGTTGCCATAGTACATATAAAATATTTGATACTAAACTTTATGTCCATTCTGAGCATAATAAACAATGAACTATAGCCACGTAAATTGTCGCTTTTATGCAACCAAATGCCCCAGATGGAATGTTATCTGTTTGTACGTCTTTAAATTGATGTTGAGCGGATTATTTTTGTTTTTTGGGCAGTTATGTTGGTGATTATAAGAGGAAATTTGGCAATTTAATTGTTAGCGATTCTGGTGTGCAAATCCACCACTTTCACTTTATTTCATTTTTCACGAACCTCTTGTACTAACTTACCCCTCTTAACCCACAATATTTACACATTTCCGCCAACTCTCTTTTACTTTATCTACCTTTTTTCTTACAACGCATCTTTTAACACTGTCTACTTTATCCACTTTTCCTTACTCCCACCCACAATATCAGCACTCTCCCCCCCCCCTCCCTCGCCAATTGCCTTAATTTTTTTGGAAACAGCATATTTAGAGAGCTTTATGAAACATAGATAGTATATGGCAGCAAAGAAGCACATATAAATTAAATCCATCCTAAAAAGAAGACTCGTACTTGTAGTAACCCACAAAAATCCTATCACGCAACTATTTACTATATAGGGCAAAGTCTTCCATAAGCTTCAAGTCCCAAGTGTTTAACAGTTCCTACTATGACTCCTAGTCCAACTATTCTTGATCCTTCCTCTTCTCCTGTGGCAACCATGCAAGGAGAGTCTCAAAACATCTCCTTATTAGAGCATCAGTTTGCCTTATTCATATACACCCAAACTAATCTTGTTTCTCACACATTACAGTAGATAAAGTGACCTATGTTATTAATTTGTTTCATTCCACAACCTATCTTCTTATACAAAACAGCCATATTTAAGACATTCCTCTAATCTAGGTTTTCCATAACATGCAAGTATCTTATAGTATGGTCACACTGTTGTATGTTGTATAATGTTAATCCAAATTATGATTAAGACACAACATAGCAATGACTGATATTACAAAATAATAATTTCAAATTTCATGTGTGATTCAGCACAAGGCAGGTGACTGTGCAAGAGATACTATGTCATCATGAAAACAAACTAATCAGATAGACAAGATAACTGCTGAGAGACACAGAAGATATAAATATATGAGCTCTAGACATAGGAACATACGTCATAACTCTTCTTGATGCCTTTCCATTAGTGCCTCCTACGATGTTTACACGAGCAGACACAGGCCCTCCTGAGTTAGGGCTTGCAACTTCAATCCGCATAGGTCTTCCGTCAAGCTGAACATTGTTGTATCTCTTGTGGGCGGCAAAAGCATCACTCCTTTTTGCATAGACGACTTCAGCTGATCCCTGCAATTTAAATTCATCAGCAAAAGCTAGATCAGTATTCTAGGGTAAAACCCACACAAGCAACCAAGACACGAAAGAACTGCATCATGGTGTATGAGAAATAGCATATATTGATATCACAGTGAAGATAAAGCCTAAAGGAGCAAAAAATATTTAGGATGAGAATAATACGCCTAGTAAACAAGGTAAAGACTGAACTCTTGATTTCTGAATTAAAAACCAACAGGTTAAGATGCCATAAAACAAAATGAATTGACCAAGAACCACTTGATTGCTATCATATGATAAATAAAGTTAGAGATATGTATAGTTCTAATTGGATGCAATCATCTCTGCCTCTGACAAGAGATGAGGGGGGAAAAAAACATACTTAAAAATGAAACAATCACTGTGTCAAGAATCACCGAATTTCAACATCAGAGACAAGCAGAATAAAAATGAAACTGTTATGGGTAACCACAGAAAACATACTTAAACAGGTAAATTCTGAAGAACAAAAGAGGTATAGATAATGGTACAAAAGCCTAACACGCAAATTCCAATAAACTTGGCATCAAAAGGGAGAAAAACAAGGCAAAGATCATTGACTTACACTGGGTTGACCATTTTTGTCAAAGTGGATAGCATAACGTTTCAGCTCCCCGATCTCAGAAAAAAGCTCCTGATTCCAAGCTCAAATTTCAGGGCCAAAAGAAACCAGTCGCAATGTCTTTAATTGAAAATTAATGAAATCAGGCTGTACCCTTATATCATCATTGCTAACTGCACGGTCCAGATTTGTAATATGCAACTTTGTACCATTTTCCATAGCGGGTAGTCCAGCAGCTGCAAGGCTGTCTTCAAACAAATCTTGCTGCCATGGGAAGTTCTTGGTTCTGCGAAAAGACTGGCGATACCATTGGGAAACAGAACCCAGATGGAGGAAAAGTCGACGTCAGCATACTAGAAAAACAGCGAGTCGCCATTCTTGAGGTGTCAATGAGATATTTTCATATCATAAAATGTAAATGAAACAACTAATGATCAATCCAAATATATTGAAAGCCCAGATAAGCCACTGAGGAGACCAGACAAGCCATCATCATGACCAGAAGTAAGTGAATTCAAGATTAACAAAAGGGTGAGATGGAAAGTAGAAAGAAACTGTAGGAATAAAGCAATGTGTAACATCAGTAATAAGCTATAGAGATCTCTTTTCTGAAGTGAACTAATTTTGCTCAACAAAGGATGTCGAAGTAGGACAGCAACTTGCATAGAAGAATCCCAGACATAGCAAAATAGTTCACCATCCCACTTGGTCTATATACAAATCGGCAAAAGAGACAAAAAGATGGAAGCACTATCAAATATGAACTAATGATTGATCTGATTCAAATGGCTGACTAGCAACAATCCTCACTGACCATGATGATAGCAAGATTTAACAAGAGGCAGCAAAGGACTTCCAATATGAAAATCATCAGATGTCCCTCTGAACGATGTATAAAACTTTCCGGAAGAAATTACATGAACCATGATATGGAAACATTGGATAGCACTAATGATGCGCTGAATACATCAGAAGCCTTCTCCATATGTGAAATTAGGTTATGAGTCATTTCTTGTTTCAATTTCTATACTTAAAGATCACCATTCAGCACAGCTCCCTATACCACATGCCAGACTTAAAAAGAATGCATAAAACATCCGAAGTTTGGGCTTGCCTTGGCTATAGCGAAAGATGAAGGTCGAGTATTTACTCCAAGAGGACCCTGACGGCCTGCCCCTCTACCTATCCCTCTCATTCTTCCACCACTAACAGCTCCTCTAGCTGCACGCCCTCGAGGGGCACCACCTCGCCCTTTACCTCTGCCAGCACTTTTCTTGCTCTTTATGATATCATCCAAAGACATATCCAAAGCCTTATCCATAAGGACAAATATTTAAGAGAAACAGATGCTTCCTCAAGTGGGGTGATTAAATCTGAAAATCCACGAAAAAAGAAACTTAGTAAACTTATAGTACATATGAATTGTCATAAAGCCCATTCATTACTAAATAATATGAATAGTTATAAATCCCATTTATAAGTCTGAATCGCATAAGAATGATAATATCCACAATCAATTACAACAGAACATTAACTGCATTACAAACCATGTCCTGGTCAAATTCTCAAAAAGTCACATAAACCTGGGAGACAACATTGATTTATCATACAGCAGAGAAATACTATAATGCATACAGCCAGCACGGACCACATTCTTCATAATTCTAGCAAGGGAAACAGAAAGCACATAATTTGCATCGATAGATGAGATTTACGTAGCTGTGACTATTTAGTACACAGTAGCTCAGAACGATATTTATCCAAATTACTTGTACAGTTTTACATTAACAACTCTAGCTCCCACCTCCCCAAATTCTGATCATCCTCTTCTCTTCCTTTTAAAAAACCAAAATTAACTCGAGGATGTTGTGTCCTACCTACAGCTTTTACTCCTTGATTTTTTTGTAAAGCCCAAATCAAAAATCCAAGTTACTCAGTCCCAAATCAATAAAATAACGGAAATTAGTACACATCCCCTTATACTGTGTACAAAGTCACGACACCAAGCCCAAATCTTACTCTACTTGTCGCTCTATCTCCCTCTTTTCTGCTTGAACAAATGCATGTCCTTATCAATAGGTATGGTTATTGCTTTACTTTATTTAATTTTCCTAATTTCCAGAATCAAATTGAAAAAAAAGGCTTTTAAAAATTCAAATATACAATTATAAATTTAATTTTCATATACCATTAGAGGTACTATTTCAAATTTATGTTTAGATGAAACATAATAAATTAAAATAACCTAGTTGAAATAGCAGAATCTTCAGAAAAATTAACATATTAAGGAACAAGAAGATCCAATTGCACAGGATATATCAGATCTCAATTACACGGGATTCAAGAAAATTAAAAAATAAAAAAAAAACCTAAACCAAATCTGCTTCAACTTTAACATATAAAACCAAAATAACACACAAAATCAACCTAAAAAACACAAAACATCATCAAACACAGAAAATTAAACTCAAAAACAATAAATCAACCCTAAAAAAACAACAAAATCATAATTAAAAAAATTAAAAATAAAAAATCAATCAAAATTCAACGAGAAAACAAACAGCGAAAGAAACGAAACCCTACCACAGAATTAACGAAGCAAAACGAAAGTTGAACGTCGAGCGCAGCAAAGGTGGGCGACTTTCTCTCTCCTCTGGCCTCTGTGTTTATCTCTCTAAAACCTGGAGATTAATACGAAGTATGAGAATGAGATCTCTTAACGCGGAAGTTTCGCTTTTATTGCTCCTTTGGGTAATGGGCCAGCAATGTTAAGCTGTAAACCAACCCATTAAGAAATTTAAAGGTTTTCATATGGGTGGGCTGATCCGACCCTATATAAAAGCGGTGCTCTTCACTCTTCAACTATCCATATCCCCGCTGTCATTTACGTTGGTTTTCTTTTTAGCAAGGAAGAACAATTACATTACTCCTTTGGTTTCGTTATAATTGCAACAGCAGGGCTTGTAAAAAATTTAGGAATTTTATAAGTATTAAATTTAATGGTTAGTTGGAGAAATCTAGTATTGCATAAATAAGTAAGCATTTTTTTAGAGGATTCGGAGCGTCACGTAAGAAATATACTTATTTCGACCAATAAGAAGAAATATTTGTATTTTATTTTTGAATTAAAAAATTATGTCGCCACCTAAATAAAAGTAACGAATTAGATTTGATATATCTAAAATTTTAATGTCACGTAGATTATAATCCACGAATTAAATTATTTTAATGAAAAAAAATAAAGTAAAAATATAGGAAAAGATAAATTTATTAATTCAATACTACGAGTATAAGAAATCCAAAAAAAATATACTAAAAAATATTTAAATGATAAACGCTTATAATAAAGTTTGATACCTATCATTATAAGATAAATTCTGATAGTATTTATGATAAGATATACAAATTGTTCGTTAATTATAATTAACTTAAAATTTGTGACACCTACCATTATAAATTATAACACCCCCAAATCTCCCTCTACGTAAATACTATATTTATACGTATGAAATACCATAGAGATAGATTTGGGCGTATTATCGCCACGTGAAAACGTAAGGCTTACTTAACTATTAAAAATGGCAGTGGAAAATAACTGACTTTATTAATGTTATAATAACCATAATATATAGTTTGAAAATACTCTAAATAAAAACATGTCTGACTCATGAATGAGTAAATTCCTAACTAGGTGATCCCAATCCCAACTCAAGTATGTGCACGATCAACTCCACACCTAAAATCAAAACTGCTTACTAATAATGGTAAACAGGGCGAACCAAAACAAAAAGGAAAACGGATTAACAAAAACTCTAAGTACATTTAAGTGCAAGGCATGTAAATACTTTTATTAGGTAAACATGCTTTCGAAAATAATTTAATTTCTTAAATTTAAACATGCCAAAATATGACTTTCTCAAAAATCAACACTTTCCAAAAATTAGACTTATTTCCAAAACCGATTTTCCTCACCTAAGTATGCACAACCCCCAAGCAAGTTAAACTATACTCGAGGAAAGACCAGATCATACAAAGTTCATGGTCTTACTTAACCAGTCTCGGGTAGAGGGACAATAAATATCAAATACTCAGGCCCATAGTGAGCTGCAAATTTAATTCAATAACCTGTAACCAGTAATTTATAAACAACTTTTATTAAACTAATCAAACCTTGAAGTCGTAAAAATTATATATTTAACTCATCAAGAAAATTATTAACTCAAATCTTGATACGAACATTTATTTAAACAATTATAAACATTCACCAAAACATGCATTCAAAACTTATATTAAGGACCTAGCCACCTATACGTACCTTGATCACGAGAAATAAAGGTACGACTGCACTTGGTCACGATCAAAAGAATCCTCCTACAATTTAAACAACCTTAATTTGTTGTTTCTAAGTTTCGGGACGAAACTTCTTTTAAGGGAGGTAAACTGTAATACCCCGAATTTTGAGAAATACTTTCTTAATTAACCCTTTGATTATTTGAATTTGGAGCCAAAATACGTGTATTTAATTATTTGAACAATTAATTATTTTTTTTGTATTTCTAAATTAACAATAATCAATTATCTTGGTCGGTCCATATTTTATTAATTTCAAAATTTACGTTGCACGCACTTTTAACTTGGACTTAACTATATTATTTTCTGAATTTTATCAATTAATAATATTCAATAATTTTAATTATCATCTTATTATTTACAACTACTTTTAGTTTAGATATTATCTAAAATATTTAATACATTTGTATTTTTTATCAAAATCATTTATTTTATTAATTAAAATCTCGATTTTCGTTAAACAACCTTAATTAATATACGGTTAACAAATAATCCCAAAACTATAAACAATACACTACTTGTGCATGAATTACCGAAACTATTAACCTTATATTAAATCAAACTTTAATAGTTTATGTTAGTATCAAAAATAGTGATATTAGTATAAAAAAATGTAACGTTAGTATCAATATAACATTAGTATAATATATTAATGATATTAGTAATTAGTAATGATACTCATGATGATAATAAGATAGGAAGCAATTATTATTTTGTTGTTGTTCTAGTTTCTTGCGGCAAAAGAAGGTTGAAAGAAAGAAAGTGCCATTACACCTTTGCTTGTTGGCAGCAAGTTACAGCAACAATGAGGTGGCGGAAGGCAATGGTGAAATAGCTGTTGTTAGGGCGACAGTATGACGGCAGCAATGGTGGTGCGGTTGCGGTGTTTATTTGAGCAAACAAGAAAGGAAGATAGAAGAAGAAAGAGAGGGCCATAAGTTGAGAAATAAAGTAGAGAATTTTCTGAATTTTTTATGTGAGTAAATGGGAGTAACTAAGGGTCTATTTATAACTGTTTAAGGGTAGGAAGATAGAATTCAAGAGAGTGTGAGTTTAGTACGAAAACAAGATAAGTTTAGGTTAGTTAAATGAATTTGAATGTAATTTGGCCTAGGTTAAGTTACGTGAGAAATCAAATAAAAAGATGAGAAAATAAGATTAATATTGATTTAGTTGGAGGAGTAAGGACAGAAATCAACAATAATCTAGAAATTAACTACTTAGCGGTTAAGAAATATGATATCATTCCCAAACATACGGCCAACAAGGTTTTTTTTATTTTTTTATTTTTTTATTTTTAAAGAAAATCATATTTTAATTAATAAAATAAATGATTTTGATAAAAATACAAATGTATTAAATAATTTAGATAATATCAAAACTAAAAGTAGTTGTAAATTATAAGATGATAATTAAAATTGTTGAATATTATTAATTGATAAAATTCAGAAAATAATATAGTTAAGTCCAAATTAAAAGTACGTACAACATAAATTTTGAAATTATAACTACTTTCATATATTTTAACATATCTTTCATATATTTATAATATGTATTTTTTTTATAATAAACAAATATATACTACGTATAAGGTAATATATTAAAATAATATACTATCCCATACTCCGCATCATTCTACATCGTCTTTTTTTTCTATGAAAGTTTTTTTGCTCCAACCAGATCGACACTTCAGCTTTTATTATACAAAGTATTTGTTTATTCATTTATAATAATAACACTAAAATTAAATAACTATAAATATAAAATAAAAATAAAAAAAAACCTTGATTATTAATTGTCACAAAAAAAAGTAGTTATAATTTCAAAATTTATGTTGTACATACTTTTAATTTGGACTTAACTATATTATTTTCTGAATTTTATCAATTAATAATATTCAACAATTTTAATTATCTTATTATTTACAATTACTTTTAGTTTTGATATTATCTAAATTATTTAATACACTAGATGGAATGATAAACGAAAGGTTGTTCTATTATTTTGAAATAAACGAAAGGTTGTTCTATTTATGGAAGATGGCTGAAGGGTTGTATTGTTTACGACAAATTTTCCTTTTATTTAATCCGTTTTTGTTTTAAGGTTTAATAGTCTTATTGTTGTTAATGCAATGGCCATTTAGGGCGTGTTCGACACTAGCGTTTATGAAGCTTTTGAGTAGTTTAGCTTTTTGACTTGATCAGAATGCTACATAATAAAAATTATGCGTGTTCAGCAAGACAGTGGTGAAAGTAGCTTTTAGTGTTTAGATAACTTTTGCCAAAACTTAAAACTTTTAACTTTTGAATAGCTGTGGGATTATTTATTTATTTATTTATTGAGGAAATTAGGTAAAATTTTTATCCAAAATTTTAGGGAATAAAATCCAATTTTTTTTTATTTTTATTTTTTTCAAATCTGAAAATACTGTTTTTAATATAATACTTATCTCATGCTAATGTTAAAAATTTATATAGCTATATACTTCTATATGATTTGGTCTGACATTATTGTGTTTTGCATTCTTCATTTCAAATTAATATAATTTATATACCTTTTTTTTTTTAAGAGAATTTATATACCTTTTTGTAAACTACGTACATATTAAATTTTGTTATAAAAATTTGACTAATAATATAAATAATGATTTATTTATTACTGAAATAATAATTTTAATTATTTCAAAATTATTAAAACCTCAACCACTATTTACTGAACACTCCTCCTAAAACTTAATTTTGCCGAACACCTTAGAAAACTCAATACCCCATTCATAGCTTTCTCTCCTCAAGACCTCAAGGCTCTGAATTTTCACACCGATCAGTCGAGAACGCACGGCGCCACGCGGCCACGGCCTGACGGCTGACGGCCCTATCTCAGTGTTTCAGTTTCATGCCATTCACGGTAGGTTCTAGGTTTTTACTTTTCAATATTTCATTCATTTTACTTTTTTTCAAGTTTCAATTTTTAATTCATATTATCTAGTTGTTAGATTAATTGCTTATTGCCCCTAATTCATATTTGGTGTTATTGATTTATTTTTGCCGCTATTTGCGATTTTCTTAAATCTTTCAATTTTCCCCTTTTAACTACTCTGAATTGGTTGTATCTATTTTTTTCACATATATTCATGCTTTAATCTGATTGCTAAGCTGCCTGAAAATTATTGATTTTTCATTTCAACCATTAGAACATCATTCAATTATAGGATGGCAATTTATTCCAATTCTTTTGTTTCGGTAGTTAATGGATTTCCAATTTCTCGAATTTTAAATGTAAGTTCTGAATTCCCCAAACCCTTGTTTCGAATTTTTCAGGCTAATATTTATCCCACATTTCGTTTTTATTTCATGTTACACTGTACTAATTTTTCTTTTCTTGTATTTGAATGTTTAGGTGGCTCTTTGAAGAAATAGAATGAATATGAATATGAATGAAAATGTAACACAAATCCAACAACAACTCACTGAGCTTGAGATTGAAGCCGAGCATCTAATATTGGCACGGCTTCAGGTTGATATTATCTCTAAGCTTTGTTTTTCTACTATTCAATTTGTTATTTCGATGTTCTGTATGCCTGGTCATATAATTTAATTTTAGCATTCTTGCTGTTTGATAGTAGTATTGTCAAGGTTTGTGAGCTAGTTGTAGGGTGGTTGATTGTTGGTGAAAATGTTTTATTATTGTGGTATTAACGCAATGAGTTGCTTGGGGTTAATGTTGGCTTGTGTGTTTTGAGTATGTGGCAGGAATGTGATAATTTACGGTTCATCTGTGTTTCAATTTGCTATGTTGTCTCTTTCTATATTTTATGGATGTAATTTGTTATAGGGGTAATTTGGATAAAGTTTAACGGTGATGAATATGGGTTTGCTTAAATGTAGTGCATCTTTCATTGTGTTTGTGGTTTATTAGAAATTGATCTTGTATCTGAAGCCTTGCTAACATTTGTTTTTCATGGAAATTTGATTGTGGTTGTCTGAGATTTTCTTCGGAAAGCTGATTTTGTTTTGGACTTACGTTGAGCTCACATTGTCAGATTTGTTTGATGTTGATGATGAGTTATGAATGACCAAGCTTGTTTGTGAAAATGCATGATCTGTTGTCTGTAATTCTTCCCGACCCCATGAGCTATCTTATTGCATTGGTTCTGTTCTGGTTACTTAACTTACTAGGATGCTTAAGTTTGACGAACAAGTTATTAGGTGATATTGTGGTCTAAGTTTACACTGGATTCTATGATTTTCAAATTGGATAGGTTAATTGGTAAGGAGAAAAATTTCTTTGTCATCTTAGTAATTAGGTTGCATGTTAGACCACCCTACCCCACCCAAGTAAAAACGTGGAATCTTTGGAAGCATTGGGTAATATGTTGGACATTGTTGGAAGTGGTGCTGTACCGTCTTGATTTTAGGATAAGTATTTAGTACGGAGTAGTAGTCCTTGTACACGACCATTGGATTTTTTTAATTTTTTTTTCTTAATCCATACTTTGTTTTCCTTCTAATTTGACATGATAGAATGCCTGTTCGTGTAGTTTTGTTGAAGGGTAAATCTTGAAATGGTATTAAAAGTTGTTTCACCACTTCGTAGAAACTTTTGCAATCCAAATCTCAGCTTGATTAGTTAGCAATGTGCTAGTGTCATAACAGTTGTTCCAGTTGGCCTTTGCACCAATTCATGAAATCTAATAAGAGAAAATTTAGTCACATAACACCTCAATCCCCCACCCCCAAGAAAGAGGAGTTTGTTTTCTCATTGTGAAGATGCAGGTTGTGGAAAATGACAGGTTAAGGAATGGGAACAGGGAGGCATTAACAGCACTCAGGAAAAAGGCACGTACAACAAAAGCTAGTGTTCCTTCTCCGTTTGAGTCCATTATGAAGGAGATTGGAGGGCATGGTTCCAAGACATTGGTTCAAGAAATCTGCCCAACTTGTGGAAATCATGATGCAACTGAAAATATGTGGATGATGTTCCCTGGAACAGATGTCTTTGCTCAGGTCCCATTTCATGCCGCTCATACCATATTAGAGGAAGGTGTGTTATCGCATTCTCTTCTATTAGCATTATTAGTCTTCTTGTTTTGTTACATTTTAAAGTGACTACATGAACATTATCTGATAAGGTTAGGTTGGGATAATATTAAATCGTAGCAGTTTAGTAGAAATACTCATATCTTAGTAGGATGGCTTTAACTTTCAAAACCTTGAACTCTTGCACTAAATTCAATAATTATCTATGCTACTTAAACTCCGACACTACACAGGTACAAAACCAAGTGGCAGACAAGACGTGATTATCAGTAGTATTAGATATGATCTATCCATCCTTTAATGTACTGTGAATGCATTACTTGCTATGATCGCAATAAAAAATAAAAAATAAAAAAAGTTTTTATGAGTCCCTAGCTCTTCACCACCTCACAGATTACACGTTCTAGCATAGCCAACCAAAGGCTGAATCTATGTTTGGGCAGATAATCTGCACCATATGATTGTAGTCCACTACATTCTTTGCTCTTTCCCTAATACTTAAGTATATATGCCTCCAACTGTATACTTAGGCCCTAATCTCCAACATTACCCGGCTAAGCCAAGCTCTGATCATGCTTAGCTTTACGAATGCAGAGCTATTAGAGAAACTTGACAGAGAATGAAGTGTCCATATCCATGTCAGAATGTGTAGGATCTGACATGAATTCTTAAGGTGGAATGAAAAGTTTTGAGTCATAGATGAAGCTCTAAATTTGGCCTTACTCCTGGTGAATTCATCTTGTAATGGCTCAATATAAGCTGGGTAATTTGACAGATACTCTATGACCTGATGTATATCATATGTTTTAGAAATTTTCTTTCATCGTGAGCTATGCGAAAACAAGGATTTACTTTTGTCGTTGATGCTACTCTTGCACTTCAAAAGAAGGTAACTCCATACAAGAGACCAGTATATTATTCTAATCAACATCTTATAACATGTTTGTGCTATTAGATTTTAGGCCAAATCTTTTTGAAACAGACTTACAATTATTTGTCATGAAACTGGGGTGGAGGGTGAAAGTGTGGAACCTTACTTTTTATGAGAACTTTAAATGCCTGACAGTAAGCCAACATATAATTCTAGCTCACCAATAGTTTTTACAGCAGCTAAGCTGTAGCTAGGGCTTCGTTGATGGAGTAATGTTTAATTTGACATTTTGTTTATGCTGTTGCAGATCAAGAAAGGCTCGACTCTGAATTGAAGGAGCTGCAGAGTCTTGTCAAAGAGAAGTCTCTGATAATCTCAGACAAGGGTGCTATTGCCGACAAGATTAGTCCAGGGATACTTAGGTCTTTAGTGACATTAACGGACAAAAAATAAACATTTGTGACAAAATTAACTACTAGTTTTTATCCTACTATGCATAATCTGATTTTGTATATCTATCTAACAGTGTTCACATTGGTTTAGATCTTTATACATCAGGAAGTTCTAAACTTCTAATGGTTTTTGGGTCAGACATTTAGTTCAGAAAAGGTCTATGGGCCACGGCCCTCTACTGTTTTTGCAGCCTAATGATTATTGAGTACTTCCTATGTTTCTTTATAATTGCAACAATTAACAATGGCAAATCTTCTATTAAGAAAAATAAAAAGAGAGAAGGCTTCACCTACTCTATATTATACATCTGTCCATGCTTATCCCACTCTTACCTCCTGTTTCTTTTTTTTTGGACACTCCTACCCACTTTATGTAAGGTATTTTCTGGTACTTTAATTAATAAAGCTTACCAAATGTGGAAGTGTTTAATTTTTGAAACACCTGTTTTAGCCAAGTGTTGCAATTTTAGGTTTTTGGTGATTAAAAAATTTATTTTAAGCCAATCATAATCATATCATTTACTCTTTAAATGTCAGTAGACCACCGGCACTGTTCCTTATGAACAGTAGGACAGTGCGCGGATGATTCTACCCTTCTTCTGGGGTTTGTTTCACGGTTTTGCCACCTGTTGTCTTTTGCTGTTGTTGCTTTCCCGTTTTTCCTCACCATCACTCATTTGGCTCACCCTCTTCCTACTCTCTTTCTCTCTCCTCTATTTTGATTTTTAATTTTGATTCTCTCTTCGTACTTGCTTCTTCTTTTATTTTGGTGATCTTCTTTTTGTTCGCCATTGAAGCTTATATGAGGTGATTTAGTGTGTATTTGTTTAATTTTTTGGGTTTATTATTTGAGTTTTGAATTTTACTGATTTTGATTGTTTCTCTCTGAATTTTACTGATTTCGATTGTTTCTCCAGGGTCATTTCTGGGTACTCTTGTAGACAATCACTCAGGTTTTGAAGGTGTCAGTGAGATGGGTGTATCTGCTGTGAAGGTACTAATTCTGAATTCACAATTGATAAACTCTATCAAATCAAATTTAGGTTTTCTTTTTACATTTGATTGAGCTAATTTAGATTAAAAAGCGTAATATAATATAAGAGCATGCAATTGATGTTGGAGGTCTAACAGTGGAGGATGAGGTTTAACAATGGCGATAATTAGATCTTTTGGCGGCTGTTTGCAATTTTGCATGCTTGAGAGTTGAGACGAAATGAGGAAATATAAGATAGTTGCAATTGAGGTTTCTGACTAATAAAATTCAATTAGATTATTTCGTTAGATCAAGTAAAACAGAAATTTTTGAACGCAAAAAAAAAAAAAAAAAAAAAAAATTAAATAAAAAAATGAAACATGCAATTGGGTTATGTATATTAGTCTGTTAATTTTTTAGGAGGAGTTGTAGTTGATTTGATTAGTATGACAAATATAAGAGCATGCAATTGATGTTGAAGGTGTAACATCGGAGGTTTTGAGTTTCAACAATGGCATTAATTAGATTTTTTGGCGCTTTAGAGCACCCATATACAGAATCCTGAGTGATTCCAAAACACTTACACCTTTGACTGAAATTGTTAATTACGGTTTCTGATTGTGAACACAGGTTTAGAGATAATCGACATGTCAGCATGGGTTCTGAAAAGTGGCTAGATTTAGAGGTCTGGAACTCTACTCGAGATTGCTTTAATGTTCTGAAGTCATGTGGTTACAGAATAGCCACTACACATCTCGGAAAAGATAGAGTAATAATCAGACTTCTTAAAATTTTATTTTAGCTCTTATTTTACAGGATCTCCTCTGTGCCTCTCAGTCATCTTTCTGTTGCATATTGTGGATTACTCTTTGATTTAGTAGTGCTTTATGTAATATCCTCCATTACAATCAGGTTTCTATATATGACATTGATTGGTCATGCCCAACTGCCATTGTTGTTGGGAACGAGAACAGGTAATTGTTGTTCTTCAGCTTCGTATAGTTAATTTAATTTTGTTTTATTCATTTCTTCCAATGTTTCAAATTATGCCTATTTATTACCGATTAAGCATGATAACATTATTTTCTCCCACAGTCCCACCTGTTATTTTATGTCTGTGAATTACTATTACACTGTGAAAAGAATTGTGAGGCATATTCATGTCACTTTCTGTTTGTTAAAGTCTTTTTATAGTGTAATTGAGGGCATTTCTTTTCAAGGGCGAAAGATTTATGTCTTAAAATCCAATAGGATATTTGACACCCTTAGAATTGGAATATTACTTGAAATTATAGGGAAAGAAGAGTACATAGATGCTTCACTTGCTCTTGTCTTTACTGATCTTCATTATTATCCTCAAAATTTAATTTGGTGGTTACTTAATTCCTTCTCTCCCTCAACAAAATTGTTATAGCCCATTTGATCAAGTGGTGATGTTACTTTGGCATTGCAGTTCTCATCTAAATTCCCCTTATTAGAGTTTAAATGTATATATTTGAGCTTTGTGAAGTTGAACTTCTATTCAAAGAAAAAAAAAAAAGAATTAGTTGAACTTATTTATAGTTTGCAAAATAGACCTGGTGGCCCTTATCTAAACCTATTGCTCTGTCCGAGCTGTTTTTTTCTTAAACTTCTTTGAGGTTAAAAAACAAAGCTTTTAATACCCTCAAGGCGAATGGGATCAAAGCCTAGCTCTTGAGTATGTAGTATGTACTGTGAAGTTGTAGAGTTTAAAGTGTGTGGCCTTCATATGGTAGAATTTCCAATAATTGGTATCCCTTGCAGATTTCCGGTTGCATGTCTCATGGATTTTCACATCTTAAAACTCTTTTCCTAAAATTTAGGCTTGTGCTTTATAGTTAATTTACTTATTATAATCTATTAAACTTGAGTATTGCCTGCTTTAGATTTAGCAGTAGAATGTAATATCCATTGTGTGTGTACAATAATATGAAAACTGTTAATCGATGTAAGGGCTGCAATTGATCATACATCTGATGTTCGTATCAGCTTGCAACTCTAGACTCTAGAGCTTCCTAATTTATACTCTGAATCTATGATAAATTATCTTGATTTTTCTTAGTTTACTGTATTTATCTTCGTTTTGTGTCAGAGGGGGAAAAAGAAATTAAATGCTGGCTTAAAAATGATTTGGTTATGTGAACACTTCATCACTTGGCATTTGTGAATGGCTTGGGGGATGATTATGGAAAAAAGAATGCTGATAATATATGCATTCTTACAGGGGAATTAGTGAAGAAGCTTTAGAGTTTCAGACTTGCACTGCAGTATTCCTATGAACGGCATGGTTGATTCTTTTAATGTTTCTGTTGCTGCTGGGATACTGATGCATCATGCTGTTTTTGACAGAACATCACGCATGGTGAGATGACACAGCTTCAATTTTTATATAGGTCTGCATATAAGTGTTTCTAAGGTGAAGTGTGAAGCCTGTAATCACCTCTGCTTTTTAATGGCTGCTTTCATTGCACGGCTCAATTCAAAAGAATGTCTTGGCTGCTATGCACAAGAGTTCTGTCGTCCATCGTCTTCGCAAATATTGTTTGGTTCCTCTTTCTCTCTCCTCTTTTTTGATTGATTTTGACCTAATTTTTATGATTGATTTTTATAGCAATTATGTGTTTTTTTATGGAGTGAATTTGGGTAATTTTGTTTTGCTTTTGAATCTTGGTGTCCTGTTGGTTTAATTGTTTTTTGCATGGGATGTTAGGTGAGTTTGATTGGTTTCATTTGCTGCTTGAATTCGTTAAGTGAGCTTGATTGGGTTCGTAAAGTGTATTTTTGGGCTTAACATGTTTTATTTAGCTGTGTTTTATTTAGTTGGTGGATGTTCTGTCTGTAATAAACCAGCGTTATGCTTAAACCTTGCAACTTTATTCTCACTACTTGCATGTTTAAGAAACGCTAGGCAAGTAAAATTAAGTATACCTGCCAAGAAAATTCATTTTGTTTTGGGGTTTTGCAGCTTTTACTTGTACTGTTATTGTTTTTGTTATTGTTCAGGTATGATATTTGATTTGCATTTGTTTATTGTGGTATATATAATCATAAGAGAGTGGTGTATCGTAATATGCAGTTTTTATTTTTTGATGGAGAAAATCTGTGTAATAGATCATGAATTTAACTGATGGAATAGATCTACAACTCTAAATCTAAATTCATACCTACATATAAATAGATTACCATTAAAGGGTACAATTTCTAATTGAATTGAAGGTCTGTTTTTCATTGAAAAGGCTAGATTTCAGGTTTGGTGTTATATTTAAGTTACGATGGCTTATTTAGTTATTTCAATTCTAAATAATGCTTCTGTAAAAAAAAAAATTCTAAATAATGCTGTAAGTCTTGCTTCTGATTATTTGGATCTGCAGGATCATCTACCAGGCATGGACTGAATCCAGATTTTGTGGATCTAGAAGGTCAACTCACTCATGAGGCACCACGGGAAGATGAGAAAGATCTTGAGAGTGGTCTTGGTGTGTAACCTATTCTTGACTTCTTGCTTTATTTATTTATATAATTATTTCATTTATTAATTTTGAGTAAATTGAGTGGCAATCATTGTGTGCGGTTCCGGTTGGTTATACTAGCTTTGTTGATCGGGTGATTTGTTGGGATGAAGAGACCTGATAATGGTTCATGCTCTAATAAGCATCTAAATTGGATATTGTGTCAAGTACCATTTGTAATTCTACGTTGGATTATTGAATTAATAGTTATAATTATTGAAGACCTAAATGCAATTTTTTTTCTTTTCTTAGTTTCAAATTTTGCTTGATTTTGAACTGTGTGTAGCTTTAATGGGTTGAGCATATTTAAGATTGTAGGCTTCCAAGCTTCTCCTTTTCTATTAAAGTGGCTTATGAGGTAACCACTTGATTTGTATCTTGTGTGAGTAAAATAGTGCAAGCAATCTGATCATATTCCTAGGATCTAATAAACTCTCAAACAAAAAACAGGCAGATTGAAGAGTGTTGTGTAGGTTCATGCACATGGAGTGTGCAGTATAGGTAATAGTTGACTCATCTATTTACAATATTGGGTGATGAAGTGACTCATCAATTTCTTTTGTTTAATGCACCTCTTTAAAAATTTGGTATGTGACGTTTGTAGCTTATAGACAAGATGCTAAAATTGTTTAATATGGATTTATTGAAGTATTGATGGAGTAGTTTGCTTATTTTTTCTTTAGTTTTTTCCCGGGTCAAATTTATTACTTTCAGTATGTCAAGTTTAGAGGACTCCCTCAGTTTCGACAAGCTGCCTAGCATGGGCACTCTTGACAGGAGGTTTTAATTCTTTGACTGGTATATTTCCTTGATTATTTGTGTTTAGTCCATTTCTCATAATCTCATGTTTATTTTTTGGGCGTTTATTTTTGAATTTTGGGATTTGGTTTTATTTATTAATGCATTTAGACTGAAGTTGTGTCGATGAGTGTTGTTGAATTTCCGTTTAGAGGGGAAAAAAAATTGAATTTAGTTGTGAAATTTGATCCAAAAGTAGTCACTATATTCCGATAGTTTTCTGGTTCTCTTTTGATTACTTGGATCATCCATGTTTAATTTTGATTTGAGTTTCTCTATTTTGATGGGAGTATTAATGAGAAATTGGGGAAAACAATTACTCATACTTTATTGATTGGTGACGTAAATTAGCTTTACGTTGACTTGAGAATTTATGTATATGTTGACAACATGGCTGATAATAGTTTAAACTTTAAAGTGAGTGGTGAGTAGTGTTTATATGGCATAGTATGTGATTGATAGGCTAGGCATCAAAGATCATTGGTGAAGAGTGGAAAAGCATGTCAGAAGAGCAAAAAAAAAAACGACAATTCATAAGCACGTAAAAAAAAGAGAAGTATATTTGTCCGTTATTATTGCCCTGGTGATGCTGATTCTATTTCATTCTTTGGATGTCAAGTATATATGTTGCATTGTTTCTGCTATTATATGTATACACATGAACTCTGGATCTGGATTGATTTATGAATATCTGGTTTATTATTGCTAGCAATTTCCTGGAGTGTAGTGTTAAACTATTAAACTAGAGAATTGAATAGAGATCAAGTGGTTAAACCCCTTAGCTTCCATAAGTTCACAACTTAGGTTGTCTTGGGTCAAAGGTTGTTATATACACTCAGGTGCACGGTACACCTAATGTATTTTTTGCAAAAAAATAACCTTGGTGCATCTTGCTCTCGGGTGTATATAACATTTCAGTCCGGGGTTCAAAACTCCTTTCCCCCTTCCCCTGAATATTATTCCTCATCAGCCACCTTCCACAGACCACCTTGAGATAGGGATTCATCGAGGGGGTAATTGTGCACCTATCCTAGAAAAATAGTGTTAACACTATCACTCTATCAGATACTGCATAGTTTGTTAAAGTGCACTGAATTTACTACGTATGATTGATTTGGCCCAGAGAATACAGCAGCTTCATCAGAATCATGACATCTAATCTACTAAATTTGCTTAAATAACCCACACCAACTCATATTTAAGCCAATCTCATAAAAAAGCAAAAAATTTCCAGGTGTAGTAAGAATTGGTGGAGGGGAAGGGGGATGGGAATAAGGTTATCATTGTTTCTCTGTTTTTGAGATCTACGTTGAGAAACAGGTGAAATTGGTTGTATAAATGGATCCAATTGTACTTTGATCTTCTTATAGATTTAAAGGATTTTAGTAGATCTACTTTTAGGTTGGCAGTGAAGGGAAAATGACATTGATCTTATTTAGAATTATTGACTTTTGAATTTAGAAATTTAGATATGCTTCTTTCAAGTGGTATGTGTGATTGTAATTAGTGAGTAAATTCTAAATTGTTTGTTAATAATTAGGATTTACGAATAATTTTCCTATGTTTTTAAACCTAATACATGATTATGTATGTGCCATTTATCTAGGATGAAAACTACATCTGCTACAAGATGGTGGTTGATGAATTGGAGGAGCTTATATTAGGGTAGGATTGGCATATTGCCTATATCCAGCTATTCTCATAAGTTTGCATTTGTTATACAAATTTAGGACCATGTACCAATTTCTTTTACTAAAAGCTCAGAATTATGTTATTGTAGTGGATGTAGACTCTGCAGGACTGTCCTTTTTTCTGCCATTATGTTGGCATAGAACAGCAACAGTGACTTCTCAAGGTAATTTTCTCAACATGAATATTCACAGAAGGAAGAATGGTGATTGCTTGATGTATAATGTACTGCTAAAATTACCAGACTGTAATCAAAGTCTTTGCTTTTATATTTTCTTATTCTGATTGCACCAACCTTGGAAAATTGGGTTCCACCTTATGCTGCAGTTTTAATTCATGTTCTTGTTCATGTATTTGTGTTTGCTATGCATATTTGTATTAGATACAAGTAACAACAACAAAGTTAACTTTAAAGTGCATTTGCAGCAGCAACAATAGTAACAACAACAAAGTTAACTTTAAAATGTACACAGAAACGATGAGGGAATGAAGATGAGATAAAAAGAACTTTAAGTCAAAGGGGTAGCTAACATGAATCGACTTTATAATTTTAGCATTTTAAAATGACTAAGAGGCATGGTGACAAAAAAAAATGTTTAGGGATTTTGTAAATATACTGTATATTATCTTCCTAAGGTAAGTATTTCTGTAAAATCTTTTAGGGATTTTATAAAAATTCTATTACATTGTAAAAGTAAATAGAGGAGAAGAAATTGAGTCTTTCTTAGAATGAATTATTAATAGAGTGTATTTTATTTGATGGAAATCCAAAATCATGTACGAATAACTCTCGATAAGTCGTATAAGTCGTAAAAGTTGGATTAGAATTTGGCGAAAAAAACAGTGAAGAGGAGAGAAAAGGAAAGAATGAAGCAAAGGAGACAATATTAGGTAAGGAAGATACAGAAAAGATACTTATAAGAGATCTTTTTAAGGTATAAGATTAAGAAATAAGCAAAAATGAGAGACTTTTTTAAACGCACATAAACCATAAAAGAAAATTATATAGAGAGAAAAAGGATTTGGGAGGGGGGCTTAGTTGGACAAGCCTCATCAAAAGAAGGAAAAAAAAAAGAGGAATTGAGGAAAAGGTACAGGAAAAAAAGTTTGAACAACAAGGAGGGAACGAGAGAGAATGCGTGTATGGGAAAAGGAAGAGAAAAAGAGATATAATCGAGATAAAGTGGGGGTGGTGGGGAGAGGACGTAGCTCATATTATACTTCCTATGAAATGAAAAAAACATGGAATACATGTAATAGGAAGATAGGTAGACGGATATCAAAGGAGGGAGGGGAGAGCTACTCTTATTTTTTTTTCCTTATATTAGAAAAAGATGATTTAACATTTCCGGATTTTCCTAAAATCTTAATTTTAACCTGGTTATTTTATAGATTCAGGTTTCTTCTATTTTATAGATCCAACTTACCTTATTTTGATATTGAGGGCATGATCTACAACAGAAATTTATGTGTAGGAATACCAAATCCTCCATTTAACCGAGTTTATTGTGTAAAGATCTAATGAAGAAGGCAGCTCATTCAATGTATCTGCAACGTAGTCTGTTGCTTTGTATCTCGTTGTTACTCTTAATTACTATGTGGCCGTAGCATGCTTATCTTTCCTTTGAAAATTTGGTCTGTAGGTGGTAAAAGGCGTGGCCCCTGTGTTTGTATTTTTGTAGCAGCAAATTTTTTATTATAAGTCTTGTAATTTGTAAAAGTGATTTGATTTAAATTTTGTTTCATATTACTCATGGTTAGAATTATGGTTTTGCTAATTAAGATTCCTCGAAAGATGTGCAGGAATGGGGGATTGTGAAGTCAAGTGCAAGAGTGGTTTTTTTCTTTAATGTCCCTAAAGATAAAATGCTTGACCAAGTTGATCTTGATCTATATACTGTTCATAACTTCTGAGATTCATTAAAGGAGATATTAAAGCACACAATGCTTGATCAAGAGTTTGCTTTTAGGAGGCAGATATTAATTTTTATTCAATTTGCACAAAAATGGTTGATTATGATGCTTTCCTTAGTTATATATACTCAAGTTATGACAACCATCAATTTTTTTTTTATAAATTCATAAGTCCATAACTATATCAAGCAATATATCCTGTGCAATTCTAAGTTATTTGTCGCAGAATCTGGATGTCCTTTGTGTATCATGTCATGTATGTTTTTGTGCATATATGAGATTTTCTTCAACTTTTGAATTATTTTCCATGATTCTTCATGAACTTTACAGAGTATAAATAGCTAGGATGGAAGAATTAAAACAGAAGGGTTTAAATAATTACAGTATGCACGAAGGAGGCTTCAACAATAATTTAAGATGTTCAATGGTGACTTTGAAGCTATCTTCTACAAAGTAATTCAATATCCCTTCACGTTAATGGCAGTGCCACTTTTATGTTTTCAGCTTTTGCTACTTTTGTTTCTATTGTTGAGGAATTGTGGATTGGGATGGGGTGTTTCTTATGGATTAAACAAATGTATGCCATCTTGCTGCAGTAATATCTGTGAATAGTTGAACATGTAACAATTTCATACTCAAATTTCCCTTGTTTCTTACAAGTAGATGACAATGAAACTAATGTTTTTTTAGGCTGAATACATGCAATTTTCGAACTTCAATATGCATTATGAGTTGCAGACTATGCAGAAACCTCTTGATCTCCAACTTTCAGCCGATGAATTTATTAACCAATGTGTTGATGAATTTATAAAGAAGATTATAAATGATAGAAATAACAATTATATTCTCGCTGGAATTATATAATTAATTTTCACAAATTTTTACACTAAATATTTGGCTTGTGCTAATATTATTAAATAACTTAGGATTGATTAATCTAGCAATTACGCTCTCTAGACCACTACCATGTAGTTAGGTTGTTACAATCAATTTGATCAAATTTAAATTAAATTTAAAATGGCTAGAGAGTTGGTTGAATGAGGCTCACTATTGATGAATTAAAAATAAATAAAAAAGAAAGTAGGAAAAGAATATATAGATAGGAAGTCATGCTGGATGAGGCACCCTATAATTTTCATATCCGTACAAAAAGAGAGAAGGGGATTAATGGGAAACGAGGTGGGAGAGGAAGTATATGAACAAAGAATAAGAGGGAGAAGAGAACGTGAGAGAGGAGGGAAAGAGGTAAAGAGAGAGATAGTCATTTCAAGGGGGTTAAAAGAAGGAGAAAGAGATGAAGAGTACTTTAATTAGAAGAATATTTTTTAGAACTAAATCATAGAAAAGACAAAGAGTAATTTTTTAAAAGATTCTAAACTTTAATTAACCATCTAATTTAAGTGTAAACATGTAAAGGAAGATGGAAAGGGAGAGGAAAACAAGTGAGAATTAGGGGGAGGGGGGTTGAACACAAGTAAAGATTAACTTTATAAATTTTAAAAAATTATAAAATAGGGAAGGAGGGAGAGAGGGATGGAAGAAAAGAGAGAGGAAGAGAGATATGGTTACAAAATTGCCAATTTTATATGCTCTAAACTCAGGCCCTGTTCTTTTGAGCTGCTATGTCCTGCTCTGCCTTGCTCTACTCTGCTTTGTTGAAATCTGCTTTGCTCTACTGAAATCTGTTATGCCCTGCTCTGCTCTGCTCTGCTCTACTCTACCCTGATCTGCTTTGTCTGCAGTGTGTGGAAGCCTTGCTCTGCTCTGTTGAAATCTGCTCTGTTGTGGTAATCCTTGCTTTGTTCTACCCAGAAGCTCAAAAGAACAAGGCCTCGATATTAATGAGATATTTTGTATAGAAAGTCAAATTGATTAGCAACACATTTAGAACAAAAAATTCAAACTTAAGGTAGAATCGTGTTAACATGGAAAGGGAGTGGGAGAGAGAGAGAGGAGAGGGAGAGGTAGAGGGAGAGGGGGAGAGAGAGATGAGAGGGAGAGGGAGAGGGGGAAAGGGATAGGGAAAAGATAGAAAAGGAAGGGACATGGGAGAGAGAGAGAGAGAGAAGGATATGTCGAGAGAGAAGGAGCAAAGTTAGAGAAGGGATGGCAAAGAGAAGGGTCAGGAGAGAGATAGGGTATGAGAAAAAAAGTCTTGGGAATGAGGAGCCAACAAAAAGGAAAGAAATAAAGAAAAAGGAGCTGGGAGAAAAAAAAAGTGAAATAAAGAGAGAATAAGAAAAAGGGCCACAAGAGAGAGATAAGGGTTAAAATAGAAAGAAATAGAGCAATAAAGTGATAAAAGGGTAGGAAGAGATAGAAGAGAGTGTGTGTGTGTGATAGAGTGATAAAAAGAGAGATGGGTGGGGAGAGAAAAAGAGATAGGAGGCCGAAATAAAGAAGGAGACAGAGAGAAACTAGGAGATATAGAGAGGCCTACAGAGAAAAGGGAGGGGGGGGGGGGGGGGGGGCGGGGCGGGGGCTGGGGGAAGAGGGAGTATAACCTATAATTTTCAAAGCCTTTTAGAGGATGGAATAGGAACAAGAAAGATTTGAAAGAAAGAAAATAACTAAGAGAAAGAGTATGAGGTCATGGGCTAATTAAGGAATGAATGAGTAATAAGGGAGAAAGTATGACCTATAATTTTCAAAGCCATAAAAAAAAGGTGGGGGAAGAAATTGAGTAAGAAGATGACTAAATTTTTAGAAACTTTCTAACATGATCAAAATGAAAAAAGACGAGTTAAATAAAAAGAAAGCTAAGAGAACGAGAAACAAAGTAAATAAGAAAGGGAAGTAGCTTTTGACAATTAGATTTGGACAAGGTTTTGTCAATAATCAATAAATGTTATTAATTAACCAACGAGATTTTGTGAAAATTATAAGAAACTCATCTGATTTTAGTAGCATCCTTATATAAAAGTTTAACATCATGCTAGAATAGTGTTAGATTCATGAGTAAGTGTTTTTTTTAAATGTTTGTACAATCACAGAAAGAGTGGGAGAGAAAGGGAAAGATGAAGATACATGGGGAGAAGGAGAAGGAGAAGGAGGGAGAGAAACAGGGACCAGAAGAGAGAGATGCATCAAGAGAGAGAAAGGGAACAGAGAAAGAGAAGGGTTAGAATAGAAAGAGGGCGTGTCAAATGACAAAGAGAACAATTTGAAAGAGAGAGGGGGTAGGTGAAAACAAGAGAGATAAAGGCCGTAGAGAAAGAGAGAAAAAATGGTAGAGAGGAGCCGGGAAAAAAGAGAGAGATAGAAAGAGGGTTTAGGAAGGAAGGAAAGGGGATGAGATAGAGAGAGGGAGAAAAAATAAATAGGGTTAGGAGAAAGAGAGGGGGTTGGAGAAGAAATAAATAGAGTGATAAAGAGAAAGGAGGACTGAGGGAGAGAGAGAAAGAGTGTGTGATATAGTGTTAAAGAAGGAGA